AAGGTTAAATCTTTTCGAAATACTACAACATATCAAAAACTCCGGGGAGGGGTTCCATCCACCACCCCTTGTACCACGGTGGGGGTATGAGTTCGCGTTTGCGTCGAAGGGTTAAACAGCACAAGTAAAAGCATTTTATTCCCCCCAACGAACTGACCACAATTAACTCAGCATTTTTGAAATGTAACCTAGATCTTGTGCGCACACAAAAAGGCTTTTTTCCAGTGTTTGGGGCACCATCAATCGCTTCTTACTTCTGCAAGCTAACAATGTCCAGCTGTTTCTTGTTGTCATTTAAGCGTTCCGAAGACATCTTTGACTGTAACATAAGAGACAATAATAACACAGCAGACTTGCAGTTTCTTCGGATTGTCCATAATATTAATTGTTTCTGTTTTTTTCTCTCGCTGTTTAGAATCAATGTCTGACTTCCTCCTTTTACTCCTAATTGGTTGCACTGGAAGCCTGTCATCGGGAGCTTTTCTTTAACGTGGTACTATTTCCTGATCATAGCCCTTCAGAAAGAGCGTAATAATTAATAGTAATAATTTACCAATTTATATAGCGCGTATTTACATGTGCTGATTAATAGCGCTTTACAATCATATGTTTAAGAGAAAACGAAAATAGAATAAAATAAACTAAGTTACAAACTATAAAAATACTTCTTAAAAAGATAGGTTTAACACCAGATTTAAAACTGTTAAGTGATGTTACTCGACGAAGCTCCACAGGTAGGCCATGTTCCAGAGTTTCGGAGCTGCTGCTGAGAATGATCGATCTTGTTCCCAATGTTGGAAGCATCTTTCCCTTGCGATGGTCCAATAAGAGCTTACCAGTAGACCTAAGATTATATAATGAATTCGATTATATACTAATAAGATCGCTAAGATAAGTTGGCACTAGGCCATAAATACATTTGAAAGTCAAAAGTAAAATCTTTTATTCAATACGCAAAGAGACCGGCAGCCAGTGCAGCTCATAAAGCGCCGGTGCAATGTGAGAAAACTTTCGGATGCCAAAAAGAAGTCTTGCTCCTGCATTTTGTACACGCTGTAATTTAGCGATCTGCGCTTTTGGTAAGCCAAACAATAAACCATTACAGTAGTCAAGACGGCTGGTTATAAAAGCATGAACCAAAGTAATTAAAGAATCTCTCGACAGGTATTTCTTAATACGTCTCCACTTATGTAAATGATAAAATGCCGCATTACAAGCCTTGTTTATATGATCAGTCATGCCTAAGTTGCTGTCAAACCACGATCCAAGGTTTTTAACACATGGGCTTGGACTGATACGATTAATGCCCACAGTAATGGAACACGAATCTATTTTATCAAGCTGTTGTCGTGTGCCGACCAACAAAAACTCCGTTTTATCATCATTGATCATCAACCGATCTTGAATCATCCATTTCCTCACCGCGTCAATGCACTTTTCCAAAGCTTGTTTAGCATCAGCTTGAGCAGTGTTGCCGAGTGGTTTAAAACTCAGATACAGCTGCGTATCGTCTGCGAAACAGTGAGTATCGGGAAGATAATGTTCCACGATGTTAAACAGCTTGGACGCATATATTATGAATAGCAATAGCCCTAAACATAAGCCTTGGGGTACCCTGCAGTTCAGGTCAAAAGGACAAGAAATTCCATTTCCAGAAACGCGCTGACTTCTATCAGACAAGTACGATCTAAACCAATTCAGAGCAGTCCCACGTATGCCAACCTCGTCAGATAGCCTCTCTAAAAGTATTCGATGATCAACAGTGTCAAAGGCAGCACTGAGATCCAATAAAATTAACATAGTACATGTTGAGAGTTCATCTTTAACAAAATATCGTTCATCACCTTGATAAGTGTAGTTTCAGTGCTATGGAATTGCCTGTAAGAAGATTGAAGCGCAGGAAAAATAGCATTTGAAACCATGTGATCGTAAAGTTGATTAAAAACGACTTTTTCAGTCAACTTGGATACGTATTGTAAGCGTGGGAAGAGGATGACTGTCAATTGATCTTCCAAATGTAAAATGATTTGAGCAAACTCAAGTATTTTTGTTCACCTTAAATCCCTTCCGGCTCAGTTGTCTCGTCCAACTAGCCAAGTGCCTTAAGTCCTTACAAGAGCAGGAACGTGCCTCTGAAGACCTGGTATGGTCTTTCCCCATATATTTCTCGGGAACACGCGCGGCGATCAAAATTACACCCAAAACTCGGCACAAAGATCTTTTTTCCCATTACAATCCTATTTTAGGAAAATTTTATGAAAAATTCCCCCGAAAAGCGCCCGTAAATAGTATAGTGAGTATATCGGATCGTGCCCATGCTCCCTGGGCATTCCACAATGTTCCTTAAATCTAATTAATTCAATATACTCTTCGTATCGGTAAAAAGGTCTATTGCGTAGAGTAAATGTGTTGCCAAACATAATAGACCCTTTTTACCAATACGGCGGCCATATTGAATTTATTACATTTAAGGAATATTATGGGATGCCCAGGGAGGAACTCGCTCAGTACTTATGCGCACGTTTCGGCCAAAAAGAGAATTCACTGTATATTTGTCGGGAAAAACACGGCACAACGATCTTTTTTTCCCATTACAATCTTTTTCTAGGAAAACTTAATGAAGAATTGGCCCGAAAAGCGCGCGAAAATGCTGAGCGAGTATATCGGATCGTGCTCATAACCCCCCCCCCCGGACATCCCATAATACTCCTTAAATCTAATTAATTCAATATGGCCGCCCTATGGTAAAAAGGGCTATAGGTGCATTAGGAACTGTCTCAAAAGGTATAGAAAAGTGGTAAGCAGAGATTAGTGTCATGTTTGGGATCACTGTAGAGAGCGTGCTCAGGTCGTGTTCGCAAAGTCTTAGACACCTAAGATCATGGTTTAAGGAAGACTCCAGCAAGTCATCTAGAGGCCGTGTTTAATGAGGACAATAATAATATTTTTAATTATGATAGTTCTTCATTGATTATTAGATAAAAAAAAACAACTCATATCTAATATTACAAAGCCAATAAGAGGAAAGCTGCATAAAATGGAGAAAACACGTAAATAAAAAAAAAAAAAGTTAAAATAAATATAAATAATCTACAAAAGGAGTTACATCAACTCTTCTTTTTATATTAATGTATTCTTAAAAAGCTCCGAATGTTTCTTCGACTTATTCTTAATCAACATGGGAGAAGAATTTTAAACGTTGGAGAAGAATTTAAAAATAATAACAATAATAATACTAAAATTCTAAATGTGATAAATATTAAAAGCACTAATACAAAAATCTCGCTAGTTCCTGAACGATTTCAAAGCCCCTTCTAATCCTAAATGTGAAAAATATCAAAAGTTCTTATCCTAAAATCTAGCTAGTTTCTTATCGATTTCAAAGTCGTTATCTGTAATGTTCAGCGGAGCTAGCTCTTTGCGTACAATGTGAGCCTCTCAAGCACACCGGCGTTCATCCCGTTACCATGCCAGCCGTTATTATGGGAAAATATCAAGTATGAAAAGAGACTATTGTTTCAAATATCGAAGTTTGGAGTTCTATTGCCTTATTTTCTTTACAACGCAAGGGCTTTGGCAGAATCTAAATTGGCTTACTACGAACCAGTAGAATTTGTGGGGACACTGAAATTAACCGTGTATTTATGTCTGACTTTAGCGAAACTTTCAATAAGTAAAGTGCACCGAATTTTAATTGGCAAATGCTGAATTTTTGCCAGAGGCTGTTTTTGAAGTTACATTAAACGCATCCCCTCTTCCCTTCTCACTTTGGTAATAAAAATATATATATATTATATAAAAAAGTTAAACTTAATAGGTTAAATGCAATGCAATACCGATTAGGAAATACTTAGTACGGTTATAGGTCGAAAGTTTTTTTTTTCTTTCTTAAATCTAAATTAATCTTTTGGAATGAACTGTTGTGAACAAAAAGTTAATAACGCCAAAGGATTAGTAGACTAAGAGATGAATGTAAGTAGACTAGGGGGTGATGAGCAAATAGCAGAAATAGCTCTTCAAAAGTGTTTTCTTAATTTTTTCTTTATTATTATCATTTTTATTTTTTACAGTTTCAGCTCAGTCGATAGGGTGAGGGTGTATTACCATTTAAGTTTAGAAGTTTTGGCTGTATCGATGATCCTTCAGAAATATCTATTGGCCACCTTATTCTTGCGATTCTATTAATTCCTGCCTAAGAGGTTCGAAAGTTAGTCTGCATATTTTTCGTATTGTGCACGCAAAAATGACGACCGGTATAGCTCGGGCATGGATCCCCCTCAGGGTAAATTGTTTAAAAGGACAACTGTTTCTAGCTTGTACGACAAGCATTGTGTTGATCGTATAAATCTATTTTGCCCTCTTGTACAATAGCACATATCACCCTTATCTAAAAAGAAATCTATTTGAATGAATAGGATTTTATAAACAGCAGAGAAAGCACAGACACATTCAAGAACAATTAAATATATTGAAAGAATTCGGTCCTACCAACCAACCTACCAACCATTTCATTACTTTCGTAAACGTCCCTGCATGTTATGACATTTTTATCCACCGTTCCAGGAAAGAACATTCAAAATCTACTGTTTTCTCTACTGAGTTCAAATTAGGTTTATCCCATTTAATAAATCAACCTGATGAATAACATACGTGAACAAAAGTATACCGATCACATTTTTTTAAATTTTGCTATGAATGGTCCATAACTATGAGGATATAACCTAATATATATGGAAATTTAATGAAAATAAAATCCACCGGTTGCTCAGTGCGTTTTATTGAATTCCCAAGAGGAATCAAATAGACCAATTCAGATATATGGAAATTAATACTCGGCTGCGAGGCTTGGGGGATAAAACCAAAGAAATCATCTTGAGGTTCAGTAATGAATAATACATTTCTTTTGTTTTATTCCCCCAAGCCTCGGAGCCAAGTATGCATTGTAATATATCACAAATGGTCTATTAAATGAAAAAGCTATATAAAGGCATTCGCTACATCACACGTAGCAACTGAGGTATTGTTCTATTGAGTTGGGAGGACCTGACAGCACGCTAGGTAGGATATAGTATTGATTTCTAGTAAACTAAAGATATAATTCATATTGCGAGCATCAACGGGAACTAAACAATGCTAAGGCTACATGAAATGTCCGCTTAATACACTTCGAGGGTTTTTTTTTTCATCAGTCTACTGTTAACTTTTATAGAAAATTATATTTAAACCAGGGATCGCGCACCCTACTTAATGTAATGAGGTGTTTCTTCCACTCGCCTTTGCGGCTGATTATTGGTTGTTCAAGGAAGAGCAGTTCCCTTTACTTGTGGTTACACCAAAAGATCAGGAATTTTTTCCATAAGCACCAGATTTACCATGAACGATTGCCAGTGCTCACCTGGGGTTCAATTTTACATAACACGAAACTAAATTCTTTAAAGGCAACGCAGAAATTGAGTAAAATCCACCATTTCTTATCACTGGACATAAAAAATGGATTTGCACAAATTTGTTACTTGCAATAAGTCACAAAAATGTGAATACTGAGGAGTAAATATTGGGCAAGGATAATAAATGCCACATTTGCATATACATGTATACCAAAAGTTACTAGCCAAATGTGGTATTTACCATGGTTTGCCACATATTTACTCCTGAGTATTTATATATTTACGACATATTTTCGGGGAGCAAATATGGGCAAACCAATTTTTTTGTGCATTAATAATAGCGAAAATCCCTAAACAACTAAAGGAAGAAAGCAAAGTAAAACGAAACTTTCAGCAAAGAAACGACAGTAATAATAATATGAAGTTCGTCCCTCGGCATTTTGTTTTGCCTTTTGTTTGTTTGTTTTTTTTTTTCATTATTCGACTTCATTTTACACAGGAACGCTTTTTGCGGGCTCAGTATAGACTATCTTTCTGAAGAAAATATTGAGATTGACTTGTTATTTTGGACGAAATTAAAGTAATAATTAAAACCTATTCAGACGGGTTTTTTATGGCTTCCTGGGACTGGAAGAGGGATGGAAAACAGCTCACGAAAAGGCCACCATTTCTTAAAATAATGTTATAAACATTGCTAGGCAAAACCTAATAGTTTTTATGCCTTAGTTATTCCGTCCCTGAAAAGTAATGGCTGTTGTCGATTATGACTAGGCAGTTCTCTACCCGGAGTTCTCTATCACAAGCACAAAATAATAAATCAAGAAGGCAAGAAAAAAAAGTGAAAGACTTTACTCTCATTTACTTCCCATTGTAGCTAACAAGCAAACAAAAATGAAAATGTTGGGAACAGTTCTGCTTGTGTTGTGTTTCACTTATGGCATTTGTACTGCTGAAAAGCAAACTGGTCATGTCGAATACACAATTTTGTTCGATGCTGGATCTAGTGGAACACGGATGGAAATTACCAATTTCTTGAGCAGCGGTCCTTCTCTGAAACCTTCTGATGTAGTTCAGCTCGATGCAGATCCCCATAAAGTTAAACCTGGTCTTGACGACCTTCATGACGACCCTTCAAAAGTTGAAGCTTATCTGATGCCTTTACTGGAAGCCGCCAAGAAGACCATCCCAAAAGACAAGCATTCGTCCACTCCAATATTTTTGCTCGCGACTGCTGGAATGAGACTCTTGCCAGACGATCAGGCAGAAGCTCTTTTGAATGAAGTTAGAAAACTCTTTAATGATAAGGCAAAATGCCCCTTTTTGTTTCAGAAAGACAGTGATGCTCGAATCATCAAGGGATGGGTTGAAGGGATCTACTGTTGGGTGACCATTAACTTTCTGGAGGGTGTTTTTGGTGGAGAAAAGAAATCTTTTGGGGCATTAGATCTAGGAGGGGCATCTCATCAAAATAGCTGGGAGTTCAACAACAAAACTAGTTCTGATGTTTTTACGATAGAAGTAGCGGGAAATAAGTACAACATTTTCTCTCGTAGCTATCTGGGGTACGGGCAAGACCAAGCTCGAGAAACGTACTTAGATTTCATTGCTAAAGGGTCAAACTGCAGTGATGATCCTACGTGTGTTGTTAAAAGTCCTTGTCATAACAAGGGGTTTAATGATACTCTAGAGTTTCATGGCCAAAAACGCATATTTGAAGGTACGGATCAGTTTGATATTTGTGATGAAATAGTTCACGATTTGTTCTTCTGCCATGATTCGGAAAACCTGGACAAGTGTCCTTTCTCTGACCAACCTAAATTAGAAGGAAAGTTTTACGGAATTTCGGCCATCTATTACGTATTAACAGATATAGGGGCAGTGTGTTCTGACTGCAAAATTAATGTAGCTACCCCCAGGAAGGTGTTAACTTATGCCCAATCGTTTTGCGGCAAAGATTATGAAGATGTGAAAGAAGACCCTTACGCTAAAGATAATTGCTTTGGTAGTGTTTACATCTACCAACTTCTCACCTCAGGCTACAAGCTAAGCCCTTCTAAGATAATAAAAGTGGCTACCACTCTGAATGGGTTTGACTTAAGTTGGACCCTAGGGGCAGTGCTTCATAACTCAGGAATCCTAAAGGAATAATGAAGATTTTGATTGTAACTTCAAGTTGGCATCTTCATCAAATAAAATATTAACCTAACCTGCTATTGTTATACTTCTGTTTCTGAACGCTTATTTCCTGACAATTGTCTTCATATTTAAATAAAATGTACATTACGAATTGACCATGCTAGTCAAAACACACGTAGAACTATTTGTGCACAACTAAACATTACCATTCAATCCAAATTGTATGATACAATGTCATGATAAGATCACTTTGCAGCATCAAAAGCACATACCAGTTAACAGAAAGATAGGACAAAAAAGAAAAGAAATGAAAAGAGAGAACGAGAGAAAGAAAGAAAGAAGGAAAAAGGAATTAGACGAAAATAAAAACTATTATAAACTGTATAGTGCTATGTTAGTTTGGCCCCATAAAGAACAATGGATTAGGCTGATTTAGCAACAGAACGGGAACGTCATTTGACGACGGGAAAGCGCGCGGAAAGGACTAAACTCGACTTCCGGTGCCCAATTTTCCTCTTTGACATGGCCAAGCAAATTGATTACAATTAAAATTTATCTTTGTGTTCTTAGCGCTAAAATGTTTGAAAATCCAGACGTTTCGGGACTACTTTCCCTTCATCAGTGGAAGATGCCGTTACACTGAACGCGCGTCATTTTATTCAAATGTGGCAACATTTGAACCGCGCGCCGGAAGAGTTCGCCCAAATAAAATTGAAGTCAATGTTTATATTGGTCAAGCAAGTTGTTTGATTTGTGTGCGCGCGCGCCGTCGTTTACTGACCTTCCTGTTCTGTTTCTCAATCAGCCTATAATTAGGCTGATTTAGCAACAGGACGGGAACGTCAGTTGACGACGGCGCGCGCAAATCAAACAACAGACTTGACCAATGGCTGAGCGGCAAATTGGGCACTGGAAGTCGAGTTTAGTCCTTTCCGCTCGCTTTCCTGCCTTGTCAAATGACGTTCGCGTTCTGTTGCTAAATCAGCCTAAAAAAAAAATATTAAAAATCGGCAAGTTTACGTTATTTGCCTATTCCCTCGTCGGTTCAAACTTTGAAAATCTTTACAAATATGCTGTGTCAATTTTTTGTTGTTTTGCCCAAGCTGACATTTTAAGCGCCGAAAAATCCGTATTTTGGAAAGCATATTTTTTAGCAAAACAAGAACTGATTACGCGTGCAAGACGTCTTGTACAAGAATTCGCCACTACTGAGAATTTTTCTCGAAATAAGAGCCATGACAAAGAGTTTTACGTTTTTTAATGCTCGGGAAGGTTAATTCATAAAAGTAATATTTTTTTTCCTTTATTTACATAGCTTAATATAAACATTCGAATGGTTAGGAGAATACTCGACAGTTATCAAAAACCCTCAACTTCTGTCGAGGTTTTCACAGAAACATAAAAAATTTTGTTATGTGCTTTCACTGGTTTAATAAAAAAACAGTAAGGTACTTTGTAACTACAATAGTTGGCTGGCAATGTACGAAACCTTTACACGAATTTGTTGTTCATGCTAGTATACTACATAAAACAAAAGAAATACAAAATTTCAACTTATAGCTCTCTTGAACCGGCCAGGTTTTTACACACATAGGCGTATTACATCAATGTAGTGAAGCATTCTTCGCATTAGATTTAATTTTGAAGAGATAAACTCAATTTTAATGATTGTTACTTCCGTACGATTTTCCATTATGGCTTTAACTGTCATCAATCAATCAATCCCTGTAAATCTAACTGCTGTATACTATAAATACTACTCTCTTCCAAAACGAAGTGAAACTCTGAAGAAGGGTATAAGTTTTAGTGCTTGGTGGTAGAAGGTGGTCATATTCCATTAGCCTTTTGGTAAGGACAGGATCACAGCTAAGTAGGACACAATAACTCCAACAATCTGGAAAACAAAATTGCAGTAGTACTGAAATACTGCTATAAACGGCATAACGAGGTTTATGTATGCACTGCCAGTGTTAATCTGTTCAGTTCAATTTTCAGTCCTCTGTAGATTTAGTGTCATCTGTTTCCTGATTTTTCCATCCCATTGAGGTCAGAAAAACAAACAAACAAACAAAACAAAACAAAAACAAATTCGACAGTGGGTGTTTGTGGTTTTCAGTGACACTTCTAAATGAAGCGTACATGAAGTAACAAACGACAGAACGGTCAAAGAGTACTGGAAACAAGTGTGAAGAAAGATGGCGACCGAATCGCGGAGAATTTTGGTTACAGCTTTACAAGACTTTTTTTGGAAATATCCATCTCGCTATCACCCCTCACGGCCCAGAATAAATTGCAACACACATAAATGTCAGTTTTTAACAAGAAAAACCCAAACGATCTAATCAGCTGGCCTCAATCGAAGGTAAGATCTTAAATTCGATGTTTCTCGTTATTTATATTCCTGTGATAACCATAATTTGAGAAATTGTTACCAGTAAATCACAATAAGCAAAAGCCCCTCTACGTTGCCTTCTTAAAGTGGCTCAAATGTGGCTTATGCCAGTGTCCGGACATTCTAGTCATTGTGAGTCCCATTCGGAGTGGCGGCTGCGACACAATCTGTTCGACTTAAGTGCATCGTGCGAAATTAAAAAATAAAAAAAACAAAAGAAACAAAAAGAAACAAAAAAAAAGAAAAAAAATGTTGAGTGGGTCTGTTGATGTATCATGCCTGGATAAAAATTTTCACCAGAGGTACGTAAGGGTTTTGTGTCACTGTACTCGAACTTAATTATGATAAATGCATATCAAACTTAGCCTAACTAAAATAGACATGCGAATAATAATGGGCGAAGAGCAAAAAAAAGTTATGTCTAAGTTTCACGCACCTCATTGCGCAGCGCGTATGTACAATGATTTATAAATTAGCCAGGAGGTAAGGTCTACATCCCATCACTCCCAATCCTTAAAATTTTCCCCAGAGCAATTTATTAGAAAATCTACTTTACAACCTCACTCTTACGCTTAACGTTAAAATTTATACCGCATGCTTCCGTCGGTATTCTTTTTAGTCTACTGCAGTACAAATGTATCTTGGTTAAATATACATTATCATATCATATTTACCGTTAACGAAAGAGATTTGTTAATAATTGTGAGGCCACCGATTGAAAGTCCCCTGGGTTGCCCTTGGAGATTCATAATCAACAGAATTAACATAAGTATCTGAAAGAAGAAAAAAATGACAATTACATTCGATCTGAACATAAAGACAAACGAAAACAAGAGGTCAGGGGAAAAATGGCAGCTAAGTGATGAATAAAACCTTCTATAAATAATGATGGTGATGATGGCGATGGCGATGGCGATAGCGGTGGTGATGATGATAAAATACAATTTGTTGTTTAACATAAAAGACTAGCTTCCCAATGCCAAAAAAGACCGTTTTTCAACTGGCAACCTCTTAAGATAAATAGGGAAGTCTTATTTCCTTTCTTCACCTGTTTTTCTGTCTTTGATATACAATTAATTTTAGTTTTGAGTTGACTTTGAAATGTGACGATGTTACACTCTGTCTTTTTTTAAGAATGTTGTTTTTCCGGCCCAGTCTGAATATTCTTGTTTTTCTACTGATTTTAGGCTGAAAATATTCTTGCATTATTCTTTCCGTTCTAAAATATATTAAGATAATATATAGATTTAGCCAGGGCTAAAAGCGAGGCTCCCATTAGTAAATTTATAATTTAAATTAAACAATAAACTTGTATTCGAATTCCACAATTCAGTTAACTTTAGAGCACATTTATGTGACTTTTGAGGGAAAGGCTACCTGATTTTAGAGAAAAATAATTTGCAAACAGCCCAAGAGTGAACCAAATCTTACATCGAGTTGATAGCCTCATATGTACACTCAAAAACTGGTAATCATCTTTTATCACATTTAAGAGCCGTAATGGCTATTGATCACCGTAGATCAATTAGGCTTAGAAAAAAAATCAGGCCAACGTTTTGGCGTTCGACAAGTTTACTTTGCAAAATCTTGCCAACAAATCTGGGTGCGTGTAAACCAACCTTTTATACCATGGACAGAAAGCAGTATTTCACAATACAAATTGCTCTCATTCAATATTCATAAACTGTTAAAAAAATTTTCCAAAATCACCAATACGGCCATCCGGTTCTCACTTTTGTAGTGCGAGCTGTAGCGAGTGTTTGAATGAACATTAACAGAGTTACGCTCCAAGATAATAAAGAATTTATCATGTTTATTTTTTATTTGATGGTTTAACGCGCGGCATTTTGAGAACTCCTGCAAGCGATGTTCACTGAACGACTGAAAACAATCGGCATAGCGATTAAAATTGCAAGAGAGACTACCAACAATCAATAAAAGAAATATAATTCGGTGAAACATAATTAGAGACAACAATTTCCATTCAGGAAGACAAGTATTAAAGTGTCCCTAAATATCCTGAGTCTTCAAGCTTCAAGCTTAAGTTTGCTGAAGTTTATGTTTTAAGCCAGCTTCCCGGTGTTTGTTTTTTCAAAGACGAACTCGAGGCAAGAAAATCGCTCAAAGCTTTCTTTTCCGGCTAGAATTATAACTAAAGATTCTTTGGAACATTTTCTTTCTATTTGCGGTGAGAAACTGTCTAAAGGCTTTTTAAAGTTCTGTAAGATTATATCAAACCAGATACTCGGTGAGATCGTTGTCTCAAAACTTACAAACGCGCATAAACTAAATTCCCGCATAAACTACGCTCCACTTCATTAAATTAGATACAAAAAACAAACATGAAATACAATAATTTCTCTGGCTTACCATTCGAGATGCAGCTCCTGAAAGTTATCAGGTAAAGCCAGTATCGCTTCAGACTTTGCAATCCTCTTACGCATCAAGCAAGGTGAAAACGAAAACGATGCCATCCGAAATCGGATTTCCGACTTTGACAAGCGACGTTTTCTCAGCCAAAAACCCAATAAATAAACTAGCCATGAGTAACAGAAGACTCCTGATAGCAGCTGAATTTCATTTTGTACATCCAGTGGAAAAAGACAGTTAAAAACATCACAAGTTGACACAAAACTCTGTCAGCTTCAGCTGTTAAAGTAAACAAGATTCAAGACGCTGCATAAATTTTGCGCATGAACTCACATGTCAAATTTTGACCAATCAGAGCATAAAAATTGGACGTAGAGCGTGACCAACGCGTGACCATTGTGAGAAAAAACAAAAGCAACTGTCTTCCCTGCCTGTAACAGCTGGCTGAATTTTCACGTCCGAGGTCAGTTTGCAATCAAAATTTTAATTGTGCAGCACATAAACACAACATATTTCATATGAATTAAGAAAAAAAATTGAACTTGAGCCTGCGATCACTTGAAAACTAGTTTACTTGTCAGCGGATAACTTCAAAAAATACTTGACCTCGAGGGGTCGACACCTGAGCCCGCGATACGGTCAAGTGATACTGGTCAGCGGGTACTCTGTTTTGACAGCTGTCAATTGATCAAAACATTGATGTCCAATATGTGTGCATTATCAGTTTTCCTGTGCTCCCAAACTAGTAAAAGTATGAGATTGAACGTTGTTCGCGATCTAGTAAAACAGTTAACTGGTCAGCGCACAGCTTCCAAATAAATCACGTCACCTCGATGAGTTGACACATGAGCCCGCGATATGGACATGGGATACTGGTCAGTGGCTATCCTGTTTGGACAGCTGTCAATTGACCATATTGTTAATGTCCTATATTAAAGATGTGGGCTTGCCAAGACACGCCTGAGACACCCCTCCCTTCCTTTTGATAGTCTCCCCTACCCCACCCATACAATCTGTAGACGCGTACGTACGTACGTACGTACGTACGTACGTACGCTCGGTCAATCACGTGACAACCAAACGAAAAGAGGTTGACCATATTCCATGGGTATGGGGCTCTGTCCCACGCGCGCTTCGCGCGCGCGGGAGCCCCGCTATTAATTGCAATCAAAGCAGATTTTTTCGTTTTGGTGACTAGTATTGAAGTTTAGAAAAATGAATAATATTATTGTATTGTGTTAACAGATTTTCAACAGACAAAATATTTATATCCTTTTCAAAATCTCAGCCTTGAGTTTTAAAATTTTGCAAATATCAGCCTCGATATTCTTATAAAATATATAGATCGTTTTCACTGTCACGCAACAAAAAAATAGATTGAAAACGGTCCAGTGAAAGAAGCCAAAAAAATGATATGTTATAAAAGACTAATACTTAAACAATTTATCCGAGTCTCAGGTCTTTTTGGCCCACAGTTTCTGAGTTATTTGCCGAAACGTTTCACGCATCTTTGTAGAGCTTTGTATGGAGACGCCATATTGGTGCACAGTTTTGGTGCACCAATATGGCCGCCGAAAATCAACAAAAACATCTGGAGTTCACTTGTTGTATAAAAGCTCCTTCTTTTCACTAGAGAACTAGCCTACGTGCGCATAAACATATCTTCTAATACTTGAAATGGTTATACTGCTGAAAATCAAGAGGAGAGACTTTTTTTCAACGAGACAGCATTCCTATTTTGGTGTCACGCACTGTGAAAAATCAAATTGCTGTATTTTCGAAATGAAACATGCTATGGGACTGAAAACTTGTACAAAGATTAACTTTTTGTTTATCTTCAGCCTAGTGTAAATAAGAATTCGTAAAACCTCGCTATTTTGACTTTACAATTTGATGACTTCACTGTGAAAACCATCTATTCTTTTGTTATTTTGCTGGAATTCTTTTCTCAACAGCACGCGCTCCCATTGAAACGTTTTCGCGCCAAAATCACTGCGCGGGCAACAGTGAAAAATCTATGACGTCAGAGGGTAACAGTGCACTGTTTCCCGCGAATGTTGACCGACGACAGCTAAACTCGAATCTCAATGTTTCTCGAGATTGTGGGATTATCGGGAAGCAAAATTAACTCTTTCCCTCGGCACCAGTCATTAAGTATTTTAAAATACATTTATATATATAAGCAAGAGTGTAGTTTAGCACCTTTTGTGTGTGTGGTTATGGGGTACTGAAGGCTCAAGCAATTATATATCTTTACCTTCCCTGGCTCCTCGCTTGCAACAGGTAATGTTTGCAGAACCTGTTGAATACCTTCTACCTGTGTAAAAAATATCAGTACGTTAAGTATAACAGAAAAAGCGTAACTGGTAAGTCAAGTCATGGAAACACAATCCATCATTTCCAAGTTTCAGACCCACTCCGACCTTTAGTTGAATTTATTTTCCTGAATTAAATTTCGAGTTTAACTTACATAGCTACGTTGGTAATACGAAAACCATAAAAAGAAGGGCAAATCAGTTCATCTGTTGTGCCGCTGTCCGCCCAAAGTCAGTCATGAATAATTAACAGTTATTCCTCGAGCGCACATTCGATACTAGATGATAGATGCACCGAGATGGTTGATAATAAACTCGTATTAAACAAGGGCGATTGTAATAATTGTTTTATTACAAAACCACGCAAAATATAAATGAATCTCTCCGACATTATGTTGTTAAAACAAACTAGAGGAAATAAGAACTTTTCACATGTAATACGTACGTCTATCAAAACTGACATATTTGTGTCAACCCTAACGGGTTGCAAGTCCCTGGCGAGGGGACTTTGGGATCTTACATCGATCGACATTCATTCCTTCGAAAACTGGAAAATTTCAGCTTGCTTGTGATCTTGAATTATTAAAACTATTACTAATAATATTAATTTTATTCATTATCATGCGGGGTAGTGAAAACATTAGGTTAACATTTCTCCTCTGAAACTGAGCGTCGCTACATGTTTTGCCTATGTGATAAGCTTGAGGCACCCTGTAAGAACCCAGTCCCGTTCAGGTTGAAGAAAGCAATTACATATTCAGTTACCGTAGCCTAGAAATATCACTTACTGTTACATTATCTCCATTATGTCTTTAAATTTAACATGCACTTAGAGGCCGTTGAACCTCAATGGAGTGAACAAACTCAATTTATTATTCTTTTAATGAAAGAAACTACATCACTCGTATATGTATAAGCCATCATCAGTTGTTTGCGTACCTTTTCGTTGATTGTTGATCCGAACACCATAATTATTGCCAAAAGTGCAGCTGTAACCAAGACCCAGAACAAGGTAACAGAAAGAAACGTAAAGCGATTTTCCTGAGGTAAATTGACAATGTGGTAGAAATTGAAACACATGATTGTGATATACAGACCAACGGTGACGAAAAAAATGGGCGAAAACATGCGGTCAGCCAGCTCAACCACTTCGCAAAGCTTCTTAAGCCTTTTCTTCAGCTCTGTAAATTCCATAACTGGCATTTGTGTGTAGAGGTCATCGAAAAGAGCTTCCATGATTAAGCATGAGAGGCAGAAAAAAATAAGTGGTAGCACCCAAATACCACAGCCAATGATGATAGAGGCCACCGCCGTTATCCTAAACCCATACCATGCATACCATGGTTTATGGTTTGCAATGTTAATATTCACAACTTTATCCATTACTATCGTACCAGCAATAGAACATACAAAAAAGCAAGAAAATAGAATCAAGTGATTCCGTCCTTTGGCTTTTGCCTTTTTAAGGTTTACAGTGTTTGTCTTGATTTTAATGACTTTAGAGAGAAAGATTTGAAAACGAGAGTTGCTCGTTCGCCTTAAAGGAAGTACAATCAAGCAGATCGTAGCTACGAGGGCAGCTAAAAGATGCCATATTACGAACAACAGGAAGAGATAGGGTCTAGGTTCAAGAAAGACACTCACCAAAGGAACAACAACATGAAACCACAAACCAGTAATCACAAAGCCACAGTAAATTCTTGAGATGTAACCCTTGTGTTTGAAACTTGTAGATTGGGGGGAAGAGTTTTGTCCTACACGTCTTAAAGACACATCCTCAAAATATAACCCAAAGACCTTCATCAACTTTAGGAGCGGTCTGTATGTTGCTTCTACCGCTTGTAGCAGTTCCTGGTTAACTTCTTCATTTTGAAATGACTCAAACAATATTGCAGGGCTTATATCGGGGTTAGGCCCTGGATTTGGCGCGAGAAAATTTCTGGGATTGGATTGCTGATGTCGTTCAGGTTCTACTGGAAATGACATGATTTCGCTTGAGAAAAGCCTCAACAGATCCGAGGAAAATAATTGAATCGTGTTTTCTTTATGCTTTGCAGGACGGAAACCAAAAGATTTTAATTTTTAATTAATTTTGTCCCTGTTTTTAATTCATTGAAGGTTCTTTACGTTATTATTCACCTATCGGTCATTTCAACGACTCCAGCTTGAAGAAGATCGGCAGATTTCCTTTTGTATTTATAAAAGCTACTTCGATTTCAGCCTAAGACTTGGTGATGACCAATTTAACGAAAAAAAATTATATTTTCTAAATGTTAAAAGTTTTTTAACAGCTCAATAATTTAAATCTCCCCTAGGGTTCACAAAAGGAATTCATTACATTGAAGTCTTCATTTCCTTATGCTTGCTGTGAATAGAGGTATTAAAAGTAAATTTTAATTGAAATCGCTCTGGCTTTCTCTGTTTATTTATATATTTTTGTTTTTCTCTTTATCAACACAGCATAGTTGTCATAGAAATAAAGATATACCCTATAATTAATTTAACTTTACCTTAGAATTGAAAAATACGATATTTTAATATTTAATAATATTTTAATTTTCGCAGCAGCAAGCATAACGGTGACCAAAAACGTGAGCAAGGTTAAAGCACATCCTAACAACATATCTTTCAAAGTTTTTTGTTTTAAGTTGAACAAACGAAATTCAAGATCTGCGCTAGAAAAACTCCATTGGCTGCCTCTAGGTGAATTTCCACCACCTTGATAATCTTTCGCTAAGACAAACGGAAGCTGCATGTCTTGGATTCCCGTCACCCTTGAGGAGTTTACGTAGTACCACCCCCAAAGAGTGTACGGGCGGACGCCGGGGCATACGGTCACGTGACTACCAAATTTTCCGGGACTTATAGACAACCATTTTTTTTTTTGACATTTTGTGGCTACGGGGTTCCGCTTGCGCGGGCGGTGCTCCGCCACTAACTTAAGCCACATTCGAATTTCAAGTGACCAAATAAAAGTTAGAGTTCATTTCACATTCTTCTGTTAAGGAAATTTATGGTTCGAGTTCCTTCTTTTACTATAAGGACCATTTGGTTCGATTAATAAATGAACTGAAATGTCGTCATAGTAGCATCACGTCATTACGTTGTGATTGCACAATTTTGTTAGAAATGATGACTACGATATTGTCTGCACATTTGGTAGCACACTTACAATCAATAGTAACTTGTCCAATGATAAATTATGGAGTTTATCAACACATTTAGAAAGTTTTACAATAGCAATGACATCAACATAACAAAAGAGCGGCCTAGATCGAACAGTACACCACCTTGGTTCTGCCATTTCTACTTAATTAAATGCACTTAGTTTACATAAAACCTTATAAATCAAGGGAATCTTTGCGTAATATTTGATTGGCGATTACTGAGGTAATTTTAAGGTAAATGTCGACGTGCAAGTAACAAATATTTCGAGATGTTCCAGATGCATTTTAGGAAAAATCGCTAAGATTAGCGGCCATAGCTTTAGATGGTTTTGAAACTATTCATGACAAGTATTAATTTGTCCAAAAGTGTTCAATTACTTACCATATTAATTTGCAATACCTGTGTTTTACCCAACAATCATGATTTTACCCATTTTTTGAGGGTTTTCTGAGACCATTTACAATTGTGCTCAAGCCTTAGCCACTTCTTTCTTAATATTTTAATCATCGCAGTTGTTGTTACTGGTTTTCAGTAATTAATTCGATCACATACACTTTCGTTGACTCTTGATCCGAACACAGATATTACAGGGTGTCCTAAGAGTTCGTTCCTCTAATTTCATGTGCTACAACTTTTGATCAAAGCTTTATTCTTGCATGAAATTTCTAACAGATGTTTATTGCTTTATCGAGGACATGTATTCAGAATTTCAATAACCAGCATTCCGCCTTTGTTTTTTTATCACATTCTGTAGCCGTTGCGGCATGGACAGGGATATAGCATGTAGAGCCACTTATAATCTATTTTGAGGCTTTTTATAACCTGGTACGCGGGGGCTACTTCTCCACTTCGACCCCCCAAACAACATTTTTTTAGTTAAGGCAGCTGAAAAAAATATACCTTAAGCATTCATCCAAAAAAGGTAATTATCCCAGCCCCTATCCAGAGTAACGCTTTTGTTTATCTTTACAAATTTGAGACGAGCTGATGGGGTTTAGCAGACTAAGCAGAGGTTTTCTTGTTATCTCTGGGGCCTCTAACCTTCGCTTTTCATGAAACTGCAAACTATCGTGAGAGCTATCTCCCTGAGTAGTCTCTTTTATATCTAACCTTCTTCAAAACTATTTTAGCCGTTTTATTCAGAACTATCAATCTTTCTCTTCTTTTTTTGTCTTCAAAACCTTCATTCCTCGATGACCATTTTACCAACCCGACATTCGGATTTTTCCAGTTTTTAGCAGTTATTTCTACTGATAAGCCGGTAAATCGAAGTAAACATGCTTATGCTCTCATGTAGCGTAACGTTTTTGCGTTTAGAGAGTTTTTTCTTTCATGATATTCACAAAACACATGGAAAGAGTTTGAGCAAATTGGGCTACAGAACACGAAAAATATCTGGCGGCAAAATGTACTCGCGCACGCGCACCTTTGGCGCGAAGTACACAGATCGAATATTAGAGTCACAAGATAGCACACCAAGTATAAAATATTAAAATACATAATGAAACACAACTTTTGTTTAAGCAATTTGCTTACCAAGTCCAATCGGACTACATTACAGTCTTATAAAGTAGAGGAACGAACTTTTGGGACACCCTGTACTGCTAAAAGAGCCGCTGTTAGAAAAATCCAGAACTTGGTTATAAAAGAGTTACGTATCTTCCTTCCTGAGCGAAATTTACAACGTGTTAGAAACTTTAACAAAGAAGAGTGATACATAGACAAATTCCACAGTAAAACTAATAGAATCTGATATAGTTTTTGTTTTTGGAGAAAGAGGATGTTTGTGTCACCCTACTGATAGGTACCTCCTCAAAATATAACCCAAAACACTTCATCAGCATCAGAAGCGGCTTCTATACTTTGTCAACCGCTTGTTGTATGTCCTCGTTTACAGTTTTTTTTTTCTTGTAATTGATTAGACTCCTCCAAGGTACAGACTCTTTTCTGTAGTTCTGGCTTAGGTAGGTAATTGCCGTGATTTTGAAGACAATGTTCCTTTGATGGAGAAAAAACTCCCAATCTAACTTGTGTTTAATGTGAAGGTTAATCTGGTTATGTCAAGTATGTAGCTCTAGAGTGTATCTTGTTATTCGGAACAAAATCCTTGCCAAATCTTATTCCGTTTGCTACATTAAATCACGTATTATGTAGACTAAGGTATCTTGTGTCTTTCCCAGTGTCAAGTTACAATTTATCCTCCAAGATTTATAGTGATTCTTTTTTGTACTGTCATTTTCTCTTTCTTTAAAGTTCTAAAGGCGTCATTGGCTGGTGTTAATTACCTATAATCAGTGAATTGCCACCAATGACCCCTTTCTCCACCCCCCTCCCCCCCCCCCCGCTCCCCTGAGGGACCATTATACAAAATCAGAAGAGCAATTGAAAACTACATACTACATTGAGTTATTGTTTTAGTCTTCCATTAAAAAGGTTAATTCAATTTGATTCTTTTCGGCTTTATTTGGGCATAGGAATACTGTTTCTAACTTTTTATGTTGCGGCTTCCTAATAGAGAACTGAGTTTGGAAATAGAAAGCACGAAAATGCTCGTTCGTGATTTGCTTGGGGGTACATTGGGCTGTCGGCAGCACGATGCAGTGGTTTAATATTTTGGAAGGAATAATGATAATACGCTTTTTGCGACTTAAATGTATCGCATTTTCTATTCCTGCAGTAAACTACAATGCCTACTATTTTACAATGCAAAGCACGTGCTATAGAAAATTTATCACTTAAGTCTTCAACTCCTTACACATCATGTCAAAGCATAAAATTTCACAAGAATATCCTCCGATTTCACGAGTACGTGTGTGTGTGTGATTTTCTTTTTTGGTATCTTATTTTAATTGATAGATACATGCATTTTACTGCAATAAAATTGTCATAGATAAAATAAAGTGAAATAAAATAATATAATAGAGAATAAAATAAAAGAATAATAATAATAACAAAAAAAGGGGACAGAAAAGAAAAGGAAGGCGTATATATATTTTTATGTTATTTGCCAGGTAATTTCAATCTATTTGACTTTTCCTTTTTTTTTGTTTCTGGCTTTTTTTTCCTTTTAGTATTTATTATCAAGAATGTCTAGTATTGTGCTTGACTCCTGTTGGGTTGTTACTGTTCCAGTGATTTCATGATTGTGAGTTTTATTTTGGCATTGACATGATCACTGCTAGGTAGGAAACAATGAGTCCAGCGACCTGAAAAAAAAAAAAAAAAACAGATGAAATAATAATAACTATCATAAAAAATCTCTCAGAATCCTTAGAGGCAATTTTTTAAAAAGCTTTTTAACTTTGACAATTTTATACGTAGAAGACTGTCACACCATAACAAGATAACGTTTGCCATAAAATATCTCCTAAGGTAATAACGCCATCAGTGTCGTGAATATTTTCGAATTAGGTTTTTTTGTTGCTGTGACAAGATGTCATTAACGACTTGAAAACAAATAGCATATTTCAGGCTTTAGTTGTGTGGGGCATTTAAAAATAACCATTTGACGTCCGCTATTAAAAATTTAAGGGGGTAATGAACATGAGCGAAAAAATCGGAAGACTAGGCCCAGGGCCGAGAGTCAACCTTTTATTACACGGCAGAGAAAATTTACAGGAAAGTAATGTTCTACATGATAATTTTTTTTCATTACCAAAAAAGGGACATGGCGTCATCAGTCACGTGATCAAAGCATTTTGAATGTTTTAGTTCGTTTTTAAAGTACTTTTTTTGTCATAAATTGGCAAGTTTTTGCTGTTTTTCTGAACAATTCTTTACACTGTATTGTCTCTGGGTAATTTTTGTTTCATTTTCAAAGCAGAACCAAACGAAAACTGAGCCAGAAGTTTAAAAGCTGCGTAAATTCACCGATATTGCAAGATAAAGTAAAAAAGGAGACCTACTCTTGAGTCTTTTGTTAAATCCTTTTTCAACTTAACTGTTTGTTTGTCAAAATGTTCAACGATTATTAATAGACCTTTCCCGCATTCCTGTAAACAAAGGCACCAGCGCGAGACTCGGGTGGACAAAATACAGTGATTTGTATGAAATTGTCCACCCAAGCCTCGACCTCATTTGTTCATGCTTGCTCACTGGAGAGGAATGCGGGAAAGGTCTATAAAGGGGAATTTTAAAAACTAAAAGGATGTATTTGGCGGCCATATTGTTTGTCTTCATTCCGAGGAGAGATGTCATCTAGCAGCTCTTCTAACCCTCAAAGCCAAATGGTTTGCTACCCTAACTTAAGACAATTGAAATAATGATGAGCAATGTTGTGTTAATGTTTTCCCCGACCGATGAAAAGACACTTTACGAGCAGGGAGAGAATCGTACGGTCATACGGTTCAGTCGGTTGCCGCGTGATCGATAGTTCATAAATTTCTTAAACGTCCCCCGGCATGAACCAAGCCTGAAAGTAGTATAGGAGGGATGTTTTACTTCGGATTTTTGCGCAGGAATTTCATTAACTTGCGCAGGAATAAATTAACGCCCATGACGTCATAACCTTTTGTCTTTATCTCATGAGTAAAATGTGCATGAATCTTATTAAGATAAGGTCGTGTGCTGTTTTTAGTTGGTCTAGGTTTTCTAGTTACTTTAAGGTCGATAAACGTCTTCGTTTTCGATTGGTTAGTTACAAAATAAGAAACGTTTTCATTGGTTAATTCATAGTGTCTGAGGAGTGAAGTCAAACTTGTCTGTGACTTAAAATCACTGAGACGTAACGTAATTCTGCAAGTCCTATTTCCTGCTGCTGGGATTGTGCTAGTTCCGGTTCACTGACTTTTGGCGGGCAAATAGTGCATATTAATGAGGGCAAAGACAAACTAGCTCTTTTTTAGCACGAAATACAATGTTTTACTTACCCCACACCCCTCTTATTCTTCAGCAATTGATTTATTTTCCCCTTTTGAATTTACTCTTTATTTTTAATTTTCATCCACGACCACATCTACCGTACATCGACCCCACATCGACCCTACATTGATCCCACACTGACCCTACCCCGACCTTTTTTTTTCACCACTACGTTTCGATTGTTTTCCACCACCACCACATTTCTATTGTTTTCCCTCCACCACCACCACCAGCACCACCACCACATTTCTATTGTTTCTCTCCACCACCACCACCACCACCACATTTTTATTGTTTTCCCTCCACCACCACCACCACCACCACCACATTTCTATTGTCTTCCCTCCACCACCACCACCACATTTCTATTGTTTCCCTCAAAAGGCCAAAGAGGCCAAAATCAGGCCTAAAAGGCCAAACTCAAGAAGGGAAACAATAAAAATGTGGTGGCGGTGGTGGAGGGAAAACAATAGAAATGTGCTGGTAGTGGTGGTGGTGGTGGTGGAGAGAAAACAATAGAAATGTGGTAGTGGTGGTGGTGGTGGTGGAGGGAAAACAATAGAAATGTGGTGGCGGCGGTGGTGGTGGTGGAGGGAAAACAATAGAAATGTGGTGGTGGTGGTGGTGGTGGTGGAAAACAATAGAAATGTAGTGGTGGAAAAAAAAGGTGGGGGTAGGGTCAGTGTGGGGTCCATGTAGGGTCGATGTGGGGTCGATGTACGGTAGATGTGGTCGTGGATGAAAATTAAAAATAAAGAGTAAAATCAAAAAGGAAGAATAAGAGGGGTGTGGGGTAAGTAAAACATTGTATTTCGTGCTAAAAAAAAAAACTAGTTTGTCTTTGTCCTCATTAATATGCACGATTTGCCCGCCAAAAGTCAGTGAACCGGAACTAGCACAATCCCAGCAGCAGAAAATAGGACTTGCAGAATTACGTTACGTCTCAGTGATTTTAAGTCACAGACAAGTTTGACTTCACTCCTCAGACACTATGGATTAACCAATGAAAACGTTTCTTATTTTTTAACTAACCAATCGAAAACGAAGACGTTTATCGACCTTAAAGTAACTAGAAAACCTAAACCAACTAAAAACAGCACACGACCTTATCTTAATAAGATTCATGCGCATTTTACTCATGAGATAAAGACAAAAGGTCATGACATCATGGGCGTTAATTTATTCCTGCGCAAGTTAATGAAATTCCTGCGCAAAAATCCGGAGTAAAACATTCCTCCTATACTACTTCTGAAAGAGTATTAATGGGTTTATTGTGAGCTCTACGTCTAACTTCGATCAATTAAAGATTTCATTCTACACGGAAATTTAAAAAAAACGATCTGATGATTTGTGTCACTAGACATGATTTTTATATCAAAAAGAGTGATCAATTTTCATCCATCCATTTCAAGAAAAGCAAATGGAATCACTTCTCACTATAGCGGACAACCTCGAACCGTGACTTCGTCGTATAAATAATATGTGGCACCGAATAAAGACCTGAAAAAGCTAACCCTTTTTGATCAAATTATTTTAAGGTTTAAAATGGAAGCTCTATATAGTGTGTCTTGACCCGTGTAAAGGGGGTCTGAGTTAAATTTAGCGTGGCTTTATATATGATGGAAATTGTTATTTACTATGTTGTGTGTAACGGCGCCTACACCGAGCTGGTTAAAGTATCAAACCTCGATATCGTTTTCAAAATATTATCATAATTATATGAATAGAAAGGCAATATTTACCGTTAATGAAAGGGATTTATTGATAACAGTGACTCCGCCGAGTGAAAGTCCTTTTTGTTGTCCTTGAAGATTCAATAGTAACAGCATAAACATTATCTAAAAAGAAAACAAATTAAAAGTAGTCGATGAAGCAAGTTTAGTTTAAATGAGGAAATTCCAGATCTTTGTCCAATTTGCTTTTTAACTGAATTAATTCCAGAAACAGAGAAGAAGGAAAAGGGACCATCCGCCATTTTGATCTGCCTTTTTTAATAAATTAAATGTATTCTATTTAACTTAAAACCCGTATAAATTGAGGTAGTTTATGATCTGTGAATAAAAGGATGCTAAAGATTGAAACAAAACTAAGTGATAAATAAATAAATAAATAGATTCCAACAGTTGTAAAATTTTAAGAGAAATCAACATTGTTGACAACTGAACCTAATATCTGCCTTTTAATCATTTTAATTTCATGTTTTTTTCTTTAGCATTATCTATTTCTCAAATTAGTTATTAAAAACCTAATATAATAAAATATATTATTATTGCCCCAGCAGCGTCGTTTTCCAACGCAGTAGCCAAGCACTTTATTCGCCAGTGAATACACCGCCCCCCCACCGCCACAGCCCCACCCCTCCAAAGGCTGAATTTCTGATATAAACTGAACGGATGAAATGAAATGAAATGAAATGATGATAGAATCTTGGGAAAAGCTCTTTAATTTGTAACATTTGTAAACTTCGCCGTAATTTTTATGCCATCTTTGAAAAAGTGTAATTGAAAAGTTTCCGCTAGGTATCCTTGCCATTTGTTCCTACATTTTTTGCATCTTTTTGTAATTGTAATCGTGTTATGTGTGGTAAATAATAAAATACAAACACACAAAACGTATCGACCGGAAGCCAACAGCTTCAGAGATCTGTATAATTCTTTACATCGTATTTACATACTCCCTAAAGTTTATTTGTGGTATTATCTACATATGACATTTTTCCAAGTCTTCGCTTGTATTATGTATTTTGGTTTTGTTTGTCCTTGTTTCCTTTTCTTTTATATACTGGTGTTTTACTTCTGTATTAAACACTAATTCTTTTAGCATTCTTGGATGATTACGCGGGACAGAACGTTACCTTTCCTGGCTCTTCCGTTGAAACAGGGTATTTCTTCAAAATCTGTTCAACACCTTGCACCTGGATAATTGGAAGCAATCAAAGAAATCTTATAAATAGTGCCTCATTTACTTTACAATTTGAAATTGATGGTCTTTTCGTTTTGTGGTTAAAACTAAGATTCCTGGGATCATTAGCCAGTTAGCGTGATTTTAAAATAGCCAACGAGCGGAGGACTAGAGGCTTTATGACAACAGATCGAAAATTAAGCGTCTGGGTAAAGGTTTTATTATTATTATTTTTTGTTGCCATTTTGTTGCTCTTTCTTTCTGTTTGTTCGTTCGTTTGTTTGTTTGTTTTTTTTTAGGGGGGGTGGGGGGGCGGGGGTCAATGGGTAAGATTTTAATTGCAAAGGCCAGAGAAGTGAAAAAGTTAATAGTTAATCAATAGCAGAGCTTTACGCGCGCGCGAAGCGGAGCCCCATTGCGTAAAAAAAAATTGGTAATCTGTTTATCCGAGAAATTCTGGTTTTGACGTCAGCGTACGCCGGTCCGTACACTCAGTCGGAAGTTAGCTCGTCTGGGAGGGGAGTATGCCACATTTTCTTGGCGGGAAATCTGCGACGCATTTTTATTGTAGAGTTCAAAAACTTGTTTGCTTTGCTTTTTGCCCCGTCACGCTTTTGGTCACAGTCCGGAAATAACTAGTTCCTCCCCCCCACCCCTCTCCCCCGCGACAAGTCTGTTGTTTGCCGACAGACTTGCGGACAACTGAAGCCTATTTTTCTTTTCAGTTAAGTTTTAAAATTATCGTGTTCTTTTACTGGCGCCACAAAATGACATACAACTGCTGCCAAGTTTCTTTTTTTCTGTTTGTCAAACTTAATTGTTTATTTGGTTTTTCGTCGAGGAAAGTGTCGTATCCGCGATGTCTGCGTTTAATAGTTCATGCCGGCTCTTACGGCGCACTATAGGAAAAATATTTTAACATTTCAAATTTTTAGTCTATGCCGCACGACAAAATGAAATACAGCTGCTTTCAAGATTATTATTATTATTATTATTATTATCATTCAAAGCTGGTTTGTTTCTTTGGTTTTTGGGTTGAGGAATGGATCCAATGAAAACGAAAGTTAAACATGCTCACTCGCTTTAATAGGCTGCATCCAAAATGAGCCTGAGTAATTATTAACTGCAGTTTTTGTCTGGTTTTAGTTTTGTTGTAAAGTCATCCTTGATTATTTCATGCAAGAGAGATTATTCTATCTTGTTGCATGTCATGAACTGTATTAAAAGTAGATTTGAGACAGAGAGATGTTTTCAATGGCCTCTTGTTTAATATACAGAAGGCACAAGCTTAAATTAATTTTCTGGTCGCAAATGGAACGAGGAAGGTTTTAAGGAATACCCAGTTTTAGTGGGTGCCGGTAAAAAGTAAGGTAAGCGTGGCGTGTGATATGCGCCTGTGTTCATTGTTCATTCTCGCCGAAAAGAAATAACGTATAAGGTATAAGTTTTGTCGATTTTTTTTAGAGACAGACTCGTAACTTTGCTGTAGTTTATTAAGTCTAGGGCACAATTAGCCGCATTAAAAATACGCAACACGCAAAGGGCAGTATTTGTAGACAACAAATTGGTCATTCATAGCGAGAAATGTTCAACTTCCTTGGTCTTTTCACCAGAAGAAACAAAAAGCACAACTGATACTAAAGGTTACTGAGTATCAGATATTATGATGTATAATCTAAATGGTAGTTTACAAGCCCGGTTTGTCGTCCTATTTTGCAAAAGAAACATAATTATTCTGAACACAAAAATTGGCCTAATTTACAATTTGGGTAGAATCCCTTTGAGACGGAAAGATTGACTTACAAAGATAAACTGTGAACTGGACGCAGCCAATGAGTCTCTTGAATGACAACCAGCCTTTATAAAACATATTATTTCATCTCTGAAAAGGGTAAACGAAAAATTTCTTTGTATAAAAAAGACGGGTGGAATGGTTTTTAAGAAAAAAAAAGAGAAAGAAATGACCGAGTTTTGGTAGAGTTATTAAAAAAATAGTGGTGCAGGTTTTTGACGTCCTAGGTAAAAAAAAAAAAAAAAAAATACAGTAATAAAAAATCAAAAATGTTCTAAATGATTACTTTATATTTTATTAGTTTCTTACCCTTCCTAAGCGACAAGCAGGTGTCTCCATGAAGGTTTTCAAAAAAATCGTAATTAAAAATCCTTTGTATTTTGCAAATTTATATATATAATCTACAAATCGATCACTAGGAAACCCGAAAGGTAATGCGAAATTTGCACGTGCGTGCGTGTTTACATGTATTAATTCAATTTCCTTGGGCAACCTGGGTATGAAGCTGTAACAAGTATACACAACTATCAGATAAAATTTAGTAAAACCTCAGTAGTGTAATTTTAGCGGTCTAAATTGTTGATCGCTTGAAAATTTGTTTTGCATCGTTTTTGCATGTCTTCTATCTTTAGCAGTTATTTTAGTGTATAGTGAATTGCAGTGCCTTTACTTTAATCGTGGTACCACTTAATTTATTTTTTCTTATGAGAACTCAGCTTTCAGGTTTGCCTTACTCTAAATATTATAAATTATAAATGCAATTGACAACTTTTTCCTGCATAATGAATCTGTTTCCAAAAAGAAAAAAAAAAGAAAGAAAAAAAAAAGACAGGTTACAATCTTTGAGTAATTTCATTTCGTTGCTTAGTTTGAAACATTTGTCTGCAAGCCTGAGTAAAGCTTATTCCAAAGGGTTAAAAAAATCCAGTTTTATATGGCCCCTGACGAATGAATTCACAATTATTTACTTAGGGCGCGACAGATATTTAATTCAGTACAAATCCCCGACCATTTTGATCATATTTGTTGATGCGCCAATTCGATTGCTTACCTTTTCGTTGACTCTTGATCCAAAGACCATTATAACTGCTAAAAGAACCATCGTTGACAGAATCCAGAAGCTAGTCACAAAGATAGAAATGTAACTACCGATCTGAACGAAGTTGACAATGTGGTAGAAATAGAAACAAATAAGCGCGATGCTCAACCCGACGATAACGATGAGGAGATGAGAAAACATACAGTCAGCAAGCTCAACCACTTCACATAATCTTTGATGTCTTGCCTTCAATTCTGTCATCTCCATGGCTGGCATTTTTGCATAAAGGTCGTCGAAAAGTGTTTCAATGACCAAGCAAGAAATACAGAAAAATATAACTGGCAGCAACCAAAAACCACAGCCCAAAATAAGAATGAGTAACCCTACTACTCTAAATCCATACCATGCCTGCCACGGTTTATAGTTTGCGAAGCTCATATTTTCTATTTTATAAAGAGTCACCGCACTGACTAGAGAAAATGCAAAGAAGACCAAAAACATTATCAAAAAATTCTTTGCTTTAGATCTCACTATTTTAAAATCTATACTTCCAGTGCGAATAGTGACGAGCTTTAGGAGGAAATTTTTAAAGCGAGATTCCCTTTTTTTCCTCAAAGGCAACACAATCAAACAGATTGTCCCGTTAAGGGCAGCCAAAAGAGACCATAATACAAACACCAAGAGAAGAAAAAGATCATCAGAGTCGTAAAAGACACCCACTAAAGGCATTGCGACATTAAACCACAAACCAGCAACTCCAATGCCACAGTAAAAGCGAGATTTACAACCCTTACTTCTGGAGCAATGAGGTGTCTGCGCCAGGCCACTTATAGGTTCGTCATCAAAATATAACCCGAAGCACTTCATCAGCACTAGCAGGGGTTTGTACACTTTTTCTACCGCTTGTAACAGATCCTTGTTTACAACTTCTTGTGGAAGTGATTCCACCAAGGTACACTTGCTTCTGTGCATTTCTGGCTTAGGTCTTTGGTTTGACATTGGATAATTGCCGGGGTCGGGAAGGCAATGTTCTTTTGGGTGCACTTGAATGGACATGATTTTACAAGAGCAATGACCTTAATCTAAATGAAATTAATTTAATATGATGCATATACATACATGTATATGCTGCGCATTATTGCATTAAATTTAATATTGTTTTGACTGCATTAGCTTTACAATGTTATTATTGACTTATCATTAATATTCATTTAACTTTTAGCATATTAATTAATACTTGGGGAGTTTGGGAAAATCTATTACGTTACACTGTTTAAATTTAAAGCAACTTTGAAACCTTTCAAAGAAATAAAATGAAAATTAAAGAAAATGAAAATGAAAATATATATTGAAAACCATCATGATGATGTGATTCTAAAGCTTACACAGGAAAGGGAGAGGGAGTCACTTTAATTTGTGGTATTTAAGATTAATTGTTTTGCAAGAACGACGTTGTCTTATTTGGCAACTTCACAGTAAACACCTTCGATTTGTGGGGCAATACTTTCATGGACTACAATACAGGCGATTGCATTATACCAATTTCACCTCACCTTCGTTAATATTACAGTTAAAATTCAAACACGTCCAAACAAAATTAAATTATCAGACTTGTAGAGTTAGAAATGAAATGTTTAAAAAAATAAAAACTTGTTCAAATTATTTCACTATGATTAATAATTTAAGACGTTATGCGTAACACCAATCGAGAATAATAGGTTTTTATTTTCAGTCTATCTGGCAGGCTTCTTTCTAAAACGAATTCATTGGTCACTGTTTTCAGGTGCTTCTCGACATGCGAAAGCGGTGAAAATGCATTAAAATGCTTTCATTTAAGGTAATCATTTTTTTATTCAATGTGCAGCATGTATTATCTTCACTGAGTATTACTTATTCATGATGGAAAATTTTAATCATATCCTGTAAATTGTTGTGTTACATAACTACGAGTATAAGAAAAACATGTCGCAAGATATCAAATTATTAAGAAGTGTACACATTTAAAATTGAAAATTGATTTTGGGGCATCACAATGTAGCTTAAGATCGCTAGCCCTTACCAGGAAGCTCTAAAAACGAGTCCCCCTTGTCTTATTCTATTCTTCATCGATCTTTTATTTCGCTTATTTTTTTTTCTATTTTTCATGGTTTTGCTGTTTTTTAATAACTAAGTTTGCTAGCTTATAGCCAGAAAGCTTTATGCCAGCATCGGCGTAAGAATGATGATAGTAAGGTCGTTTCTATTGTTCTCGTAGCGCACGGCATCAACGCGTAACCTTAATATGGACCCAAAGTCTTCTCCTCCCTCTTTTTTTAAACCTAACATTTTAGAATGATGGTAAGATCATTTCTATTGTTCTCGTACGTACGGTAAACCGTAACCTTCGGAGCCGAAGGGACTGGGTTCGATACCCCCTATCTCCATTCTCTGTTTTATAAACCGTTAATTCGAATTAAACGCATAATTCATGTCACAAACATCACAGAGCTAGCTGAGTATGTACTACTACCAAATAACGATGATGGACTTACGGAGTTAGCAGTCGATAAGGGCTTGATTAAGAAAACAAAAAGGTCCTAATTCATAGAAAAAGAAAAAGGCTACCAAAATAACCAAAATACTTCCGAGAACGAGAGCAGTGTAGTGTAGTTCATCGGATAGAGAGGAAGAGGAGAAGGAGATAGCTTCTGTGAATGGCAGTCAAGCTGAAGACACCCAAGTTTGACACAGAAAACGACAGTCGGGAAATAGAAGGTAGTAGCACTGAAACGTCCACCACCTTTCACTCTGAAAATCCCTGAGAACATTGTGAGAACTCTAATGTGTACGGAACATTGATCATGAAATGTCCTAAATGCTCTTGGCACTACTACTGCAAGATTTATCCTATATGCGATCACGAGATCCCCGAGGAGAGAAATTACATCAAAGAGGGCTTTCTTCGGTGTCACGACTGTGGATCAACTACACACAAAAACGCGAAGACGTTGGAAACCAGACAGTTTTTATTCCCCATTCTAAAGAGGAGAACGAATCTGATGATTTATTTTATCCCTTTCAAATTGTTATATTATTATTTTATTCTTTTTGTAATTTTTGTTTTTCAATAAAGTTTTTAAAACGGTATCTCGTGTTTGGTTTTGTTGCGAGCATTTATTACTTAAGTACCGTGATTCAATTGATCATTTCTTAGAATTTAGGTCAACTATTGTTTTATTGAATATAGTAGACGTTTTAAGGTTGTGCCACGAGCTTTCTCCGCATGTAGAGTTGAAATACAAATGTCGATCAGGATCAGTGATGACCATGCAAGCATTTGCACATAATTAGTCAAATTATCAAATTCCTCCTTGTCATAACAACTGTCCGCGGGGAGTCCAGAATAGAATATCTCTGGAAGTGGCCATGCTATGCAACAAATCAGAAGCACGCTCTTTAGACACCGCTTGGGAAAGATTGTAACTCAACCATCTTTAATTCTTGGTCTTCATCCTCGCTTTCATCAGCAGAACTTTCACTCTCTTCATTTTCACTCATCAACCAAGTCTATCTTTCTCTTCATCTAGACCAGTACAGATGGAAGGTAGGCTTCAAATAGTTAACTTATAGTTTCGTTTCCTCTTTTATAGCATCAAAAACCTTACGCTTGTAACAGCAGGGACCAATAGGTCTTGAATAAAACCAACACCCTCTTGTACAAGGATTCGCTTCTTTGTTTTGTAAAGGACATTTGTTTCTGCTAGCTTTACTAATGCATCTTTATATGACAACACTTTCCGCTTATTCTCTTCGGGGATGACAGTATTTTCCTTAAGTATATTTTACAAGACTTGGACTAATGCATGTAGTTGTCGTGGAGTTGCTATCCGTAAGAGAAACTGGCGCTGATGAGCTGCACAAACAGTTAACAGTTGAAGATACCAATGTATATAGACGATACTAATGTAACATAAAGATCTGAACTATCTTTCAGATGCACTGTATGTTAAATTTAGAGATGGACAAACTGTCAATCTGGTTTAAAGTAAACAAGCTTTCTCTAAATCTTAAAAAGACAATAAAGCAATAGAAACAATAGAGATGATGATGAGGAGGAGGTGAGAAACAATAAAATTGAGGAGGAGGAGCCAGCAATGGAATTTCATGGCCTGCAAACCTATATGAATGCGAAACGTTCGAACTTTTTTCAGTCTACATTCTGTTCCTGTGGAGCTGACATGAATTGGTTCTGTACCTTTTGCGACAAATCTTTTAATAGAAAAGAGGATAATGCAAAAGACACTTTATTTTCAAACTTCGCAATGCTCTCACCCTATTTCTTACAGGTCCTATGCGTTTACAGCGGTTTCGTTGCGAGTGCAAGCATCCTTTTACCTGCCTGGGTTCGATCTCTATTACAACAAACATCAGAATCCATTTACCTTCACCCGGAGAGGATCGTTTGGTATTATTCACAGTGGCAACCCGCATAAACAGAAATGCTAGTGGTCATAATACACATTGAATTTGTCAAGGGTACCGTATTTGTTCGATTAACCGCCCTGGGCGCTTATTAAATTTTTGGACCTTGATAGTGGGCGCTTATTCGAGGCTGGGCGCTTATTAAATTTTCACCATTCTCAGCAAGAGAAGTATGTTTATTTTGCAACGAAACAATAAATGGTAGCAACAAAAAGCGAAGAAGTAACAAAGCAAGGTTTCTGTAAAATACTCTGAAGAAAACTCCGTCTTCGGGAGGTTCTCTAATTATCTTTTATTGGAGTTTGTGTGGGAGGGAGTGGGGTGGGGGTGGGCGCTTATTAGAGGCTGGGCGCTTATTAACTTTTTCTGCCTTTAGGATGGGCGCTTATTCGAGGTGGGCGCTAATTGGAGGTTGGGCGCTTATTCGAATAAATACGGTATTCCTGCGGCTTTGGAACAAGATTGCTATTTTGATGTGAACAAACGGAACTTAATCGTATTTGGCGATCAGATGATTGACGCTAGAAAAGAAAAACGAATTGTGAACTTCTTTTCTCGTGGATCTCATCATCGCAATCTAAGCATGATTTATATCGCACAGAATCTCTTTCGTCAAGGGAAAGGTAGCCGAAGCATAAGCTTAAAGCGTCACAACTTGGTGCTATTCAAGAACCCTCGAGACAAATTGCAAACTTTGACTCTAGCCAAGCAAATGTATCCCGGGCAAACTGATTTCTTTTTAGACCAATACGAAGAGGCTGTGAAAAGACCCTTTGGTTACCTGCTAATTGATCTGAAGACCACCACACAAGATAATTGTCGACTACGAACAAATGTCCTACCCAGTGAAGAAGTCTTCAACCAAACGGGATTTCATGACAACATTCCTCCAGAGTTTCTGAGATAACTAAAGCAGCAAACTATTTCACCTTTTCCGCTTCTTCCAGCTATGCAAAAGATACAGGGCAATACGGATGATGTGCTTTCTCGAATCGAACTTCGAGACGATGAAAAAGCTAAGCGGTACCTTCAATTGCAAAAAGATACCTTGTTTTCAAAGAACAATCAAGTTCAAGAACACGACCGGGAGAGATAAACAGCGCTGTCCCAGAATTACCAAGCACAGTACTTCTTACTCCCCTTAACCCCTTCAACGCAACACCTGATTTAAATCAGGCTGCTATCTTACAAAAACTTGAAAAAGAAAGCTCCACCCCACCACCACCCTTAAATCCTGCTTTCCGGACCCCTCCTGCCGCAGTGGAAACCCCAACACTAGCCACGGTGCGAGACAATAGGAAATTCCGGAGCAACGAGGGAGCCAGGTTTATGACAACGCTTCAATATTTACTGACATTTGCTCCTATGCTAGACAACTTTAAAGGTTTTCAATGGACACGAAATTCGGAGATTTTAAACTTAGTACACTGATCAATTGCAGCACTGAAGTTTTTTAAAGAAAAGCTCTCGACGAATTTTGGTTTAATTTCTGTCTTCGTGAAAGTAACTTTTGAAATCACAAAAAGAGCTCAGCATTGCGTTTTAACCTGATTTACATGTATTCGTGTTTTTCGAAATCGCACAAGTCTACTTGCGTTTAGCCTGATTGAGTGTATGAGGGTCATTTACAAAACGAATGAGTGATAAAAACTTTTCGGAAACACCCAAAAAGTAGCAAAATTGTCTGCACTAAGTGCAGTCTCCAGTTCATCATAATTTATGCCCTTTTGTAGAAATTCGAATATATCTCGAAATCCCTCAGATAGATTTTTGGGAAACTTTGCACAACAAAAGTCAAACACCCAAAGTATTCTCGGCTTGCACTGTCACGCAATGAAAAATAAAAATGCAAACCATTCAATACAGAAGGACTAGAATCTGGGAAATGAAAAAAGACTAATATACAAAAACCCTTGCCAAGAATCAGGTCTGTGAAATATTTCAAATGCGAGATATTAGGAAAAACGGTTTACCTAAATTTTTAAAGCTTTGTATGGAAACGCCATGTTGGTGTCCCTTTCAGGAACACCAATATGGCCGCCGGATACCAACAGAAACATCTGTTTTCGAGTTTTCCTACTAATGCGTGAATTCTTCGCTTGAGGAACTCATAATGATTACAGTAATATTTATTCTGAGGCAAGGAATGTTTAGATTGCAAAATCTCCCAAAATCGGTAATGTTTTTAACCCACATAAGAGCTTTCCCGGCCGCCAGCTAAATGCCGCGTCACGCAATAGCCTGCAAATTCAAGCGTCCTCTCTGCAAAACGAAGAACCCTTTCGACCCAAAAATTTGTTTATGTAAAGATGTTTAGGTACTGTAATACCTCGTGAAAGTAGAAACTCAGAAGAATCGATAGTTTCTTAGTTTGATTTTTGGTGACTTCACGTGCAACCTACCCATAGGTAACGTCACGCATTTCTAAAAGAAATTGCCGATAAGGGCTGCAATTTGATTTAGAACTAAACCTTTGTGACGTCAATGTCACGTGATATTTATTCCGATCGTCCAAAAAAATAATATCATAATAAAGTTTCGTCTATGTCTAGTACATGTGTTATAATGGCTTTACAATAAAGATAAATTAGTTTAAGTCTAAAAAATTCAAAGATGGGATGTGTACCAGTCCTACAAAAATACTGGGTCGAGCCACCGTAAACATACGGTTACATCTGTGTGAACAGATTGGAGTTCAGTTCATAATTGTTTGAAATTTGCATACTACATGTAACTTGTCTCCGGCGATCACATTAATTGTATGGTTCAATCAAAACTCGAGCCACAAATTTCTTTTCAACCAGTATCGATGCCGTCGACTATTTATTGTCAAAAGATGGAGCGTGAAGCTGAAGACTTGGAACTGAGGAACCTAAACCAAAGAGCAGATTTACAAAGTTACAAAATTCCGGACGAATCCCAGATAAACGTAAATGCAGCAGACAGTACGGATGATAATCCACACTTCAACGTGTTATTGTTGAATTTTCGTCGCACTTTAAAAGTAATGAGAGTCACTGGAACTTGCTACGGCAATATTGAGCTAGGTGGAAATTCTGAAGGAAACAGGTCAAGTTTGTGGTCTCGGTTTTACTGTGTAATAGTGCTACTGGGTCAGTGGGGTCTTGCAGTGCAAGCATTAACAAGTCTTTTCATCGAAGGGACATCTGAAATGACAAACTTTTACCTGCTACTTATCTACAGCATATTTTATCTACAATGCGCAGTGGTCGCGACAATCAGCGTATCAAGATTTTCGAAAAGGCAACATGAATCACATTTTACACAACTTACAGAAAAACTTAAGACAGATGCAGTCGCTTTCGATGGTCTTAAAATAGCATCAATGACGAGAGTATTGCTTTTGGCATATTTATTTTCCTTAGTTAACACTATTGCCCTTTCACTAATAGATTTCTACGGAAATGTGTCAATAGCAAGGTACAGACCATGGAATGGCTCATTTCTTTGCCGATTTTTTAATTTATTTTTCGGATTTTTCGCCAGCTGCTCATGGTCTTTTCCGTTTGTGCTATTTTGCGCAACATGCGAGCCTTTAGCTGAAATGTTCAACGCCCTGAAGAAGAAAGCGGCATCGGAAAACAGTCTGTGTCTTCCCATTAGCTCTTTGAGAAAGGAACACCAAAAACTATGTGAAATAGTCGCTTTGGCAGATGACGTATTTGCACCTTTACTTTTGGCAACATTTATTTCGGACATACCTCTAATTAGCATCAACTTACATCGGCTAGTTAAATCCCCTAGCTCAAGTAGAGAAGAGATCACATTTGTCTTGACCATTGTTTATTGGTGCTTGAGCGTGGCGACAAAAGTAACTATAATTTTAAAGTATGCGGCAAAAGTAAACGAGAAGGTGGGTCTATTTTGACTTTAAATTTATGCTATTTTTATTAATTCATTTTTTTTTCTTAAAAATGTACACTGTTACATGACTTATCATAAAATAAGTTGTGAGCTCCTTCGAGAAATAAGCTTTTCTCCTGACCAGTTAACAGTCGTTGATTCTGATTGGACGGCCCGCGATAGAGTGATATCTTCATTTGCACTGGAAAGCACACAGTGAAACACAACTTCGGTTATATCTCCTCAGATTTAAACAGGAAATGTAAAAAAAAATTGGCACATTAATAATTCCACTGGAAAATTCGTAAGTAAAGTGATTTGCCGTTGCAAAAATCAGCGAAAATACAGATAAAAAAAATAATAATGATAATAATAAACGAAGAGACGAAGGGGTCCTGAAATACAAAACTAAACAATTAGATGAAGTCAATCGGGGAAATAAGTAACATTTGGAAAGGTGTTCAGAACTTGAACTACTGATGGTTTCAATGGTAACAACGAAAGTGTTTAGCCTTGTAATATTTGTAATTTCGTGCATCTTAATCCACAATTACAAAACTAAATGTCTGATTTTTTTCAATTTCAAAGAAAAAAATGCGTTTTAAAAACAACAACAATTTAAAAAGGGAAAAAAATGACAAAAGTGACAACCACTTTTGAAATGACAAAATCTTTGCAATGTTTCCGATATATCTTTTTTTACAGTCAAAGATGAAGCTAAAGCAAATATCTTTCCTTAACAATAAACATTAAATGAGTCGAAAAAATCAAGAAATGATGAACTTAAGCTAAATGCTTCGAGTTCTTCTTGAGACAACAAGCAAATCTAAACCCTTTTAAATTTGTCACCAATGTCATAAAGTACTTTGTCTATCAATCAAAATTGTGGTTTCCTTTTTATTTAAAGCTTTGGCTATAACATTAGTGACTTCTTCCAGCGAAATCCCTATAAACACGTACAGTATGTTGCCCAGTATCCGGACACTTCAGTTTAAGATTGCAATAGCTTTCCTTTGTTAATCGCAAGAGCTCTCAAATTTGGCCCAGAGAAAATCTATTTAGTCCTTAATATGACGAGAGACAGTTAAACTTTTTTGCCTTTGTTTCCATCGCGAAATTAATATTTTTGCAGAATTCCTATGTTGCCCAGTATCCGGACAGATGGCCCAGTATCCGGACACAACAATAACAACGTAATTGTACATAAATTTCGACAGGCAAGAGACTTATAAGCTTCTCTTGCACTTGCAAAGTAGTCTGGCAATCGATTCCAAAAATATAACGTAGCATCGTGAAATAAAAGGACAAATGACTGGGGTATGGTGGGGAACGCGAGCGGCTTTATTAAAAATGGTATAATTCTCACTTCCTTGTCTAGGAACTTTTTCACTGATTTAAGGAAGGCATCCGTGGACATGCCGAAGCCGCAGTTTGCAAGCTCAATTAGCCAATCTGCAAACGACTTTTTTTCTTCATTTTTTATTTAAAAAAAAAAAAGCTTGGAGAAGGGACCTCAAAGGGACTCTCCTATTTAGTCTGACCTGCAGTGTTGATTTCTTCATGCTCAGTCCCCACAATAAGCGCGCTTTTCTAGCACAAATTCCTCCTTCTTTCACATCTCTCAATCTCTTTGTGACATTTTTGAGACCGTTGCAACCCCATAGCAGTCACAACTGGGGTAAATATGAGAATTCCAGGTTCAACTCAGACGCTTTCGGTTATATATAGAAAATCCAGTCACGCGAAACAAGCCGTGCACACGAAATCAAGTCGCCTCTGAATGAGTGAAGAAAATTTCCTTACGGAGTTGAGTAGAATTACATTTTACGACTATATCATATATCCTAAGCTTTAATTATAGTTACTGATATGAAATAAATCTTATCCGGATAATGTACACAGCTAATTCATCGATTCTGTACAGCAAAGAAAAAACTGTCCGGATACTGGGCACCTGACATCAATACTTAGTGAATGTTTCTGGCCTCCGTTATTCCAAACAAATCGAATTTCAAGAAGAATTAATAAACTTTCTCAAAACCTGACTTCCTTAAGTATCTTCACTTTAAAAATAAAACAGTTTCTTTGAAAGTATCACACATTACCCTCCCTTTTCTGAGCAGCACTAATTTTACTGCGCAGTAAACAGCGTAAATACTAGCCGTGAAAAGTCTATTCACCTGATCAGAACAGCGTCTTCTGCGACTGTTTCGCAAGCTTTCAAATCGCCAAAACTTTCATCTTAAAGCTGAAATGTTCAGCTTTCATTCGAAATACTTCGTTTACCGAGAACTGAAAAGGGCGCCTCAAAATTTGAGTGTCCGGATATTGGTACCATCCGGATACTTGGCAACATACTGTAATCCTGGTTTGCCCATTTGGTGCCATAGAGGGACCCATATGACAAAGTGTGCATGCTATGTTAAATTATCGTTGGCTTCACTTAGCTTTGCAAAAATGACTGATAGCAGACTGGAACGTTTTAGATTTTCTTGTCTCTATGATTAAACATCAATTAAAGGAGGATATGGGGAAGAACAAAATTTGGTCGTAGAAGTTTACTTGTGAAACTAGAAGATAGTTTCCCAATAGTATTCTTCAGTCAAATCCGAGCCTAAAAAGCTCATTACACATCACATGTCAGACCCGAGGGAAACAGAGAGTTTTGTTTTTTACCGAGAGCCCTAATGTTTCCCGAGACGAAGTCGAGAGAAACATCAGGACTCGAGGGAAAACAAATCTAATTTCCCGAGGGATCTGACATTAAGTGTATTGTTATATGTCTAGACTTTCACTTCAACTTACTTCAACAGCAACAAAAGAATACGCTTAAGGGGAGCGAATCAAAACAGTCGACTCAGTACTTATAAGAACACAAATTTAATTCCCAAAACCACTGAAAGAGTGATTTACAAAGCACGTTTCTTATATCATCTGCATCTTTTTTCTCCATTAGCTGCCGTTGTTCCTCTGGGATAACTTTGAAAATCGCTGCGTTTTAGCTTGAGGCTTCATATTTGGGTTGTTGTGTTCAGTCACGAAAAAGAAAACTGGCAGGACCCGCCAGTGTTTTTTCCGCCTTCTATCGAGCCCCTTTCCAACATGCTTTGATCACGTGCTGTAATGTATCCTGAGCGGGGTACGTTGCTTAATGTATCACGATCGGGATACAGTCGATTTTAGTCAAGGCCATGTGAGCAAGAATCAGCCAATGGCAGTCCCTGTTTTGTTGAGTGAAAGTCTAGGAATATAACAATATCAATTGTTCCATGTCTTAATTATCTTTTCTTTTTCTTTTTTCAATTTTTTTTTTCTTCTTCTTTTTTTTTTGGCAGATTCATAGCTTCGATGGTACATTGCAACAGTTAAGTGGATCGGACTTGAAAGAACACTTGGAGGTACCCTTGCATTCTTAAAAAAACGAAGCGCCTTGCTTTCCCTTAACATATAACGAAATGGCATTAACGTTTTTTTAGAAAGGTCATTAGCATAAGCACAAATTCTTTTAACACATCAGTACTTTAACGATACACATGTAGCCGCAATAAAGTAGGAAATACTGCGGTAACATGGCATTTGTTTGTTTGTTTGTTTTTGTAACCCGGGCATCTATAAAAACAATCTTACAGTATCTGTTTAAACATCACATTAATTAATCCAGAGCTGAGAAACGGAGGGTTGAGGAAGCATTTCTTTTCCGCAAGAAAAACATGAAATAATGAATATTTAATATGACTGAGATATTGCTTTACATTCAGTTGCCCCAGCACAGTTACTCAAGAGGTTGCCTCTTAAAAGCAGGCATCTACCGATCTGCTACGTGTTATTCCAGAGTACTATACAATTAGTTAGCACTTTTGAATCCATGGAGAAATGAAGAAGTTGTGAAAGGGTGAAATCACTTCAAGATTATAATTTAGCCAGATATATATCTGTGTGATTTTGCTAAAAGGTGCCCGCTAAGTTTTCGCTTAAACACGGGCATCGCCCGTGTTCAAGCCAGCGTATACGGAAAAAAACCAGGGCGCTTGCTGTGTTGCTAGGTGTCAGCAGAGAGCGCAGGTCCAGAACTATTCTTGGGTGGGTGGCTGACTTGTTTTGTGTGAAAACCAGGGGGGTAGGAAGGGGAGATTTGCTAGCCTGATGGTAGTCTTTTGATTTTCAGCTGCTGCAATTTCTAATGTATCTTCGTGGAGATCCAGTAGGATTGTCTGTGGGCGGATTAGCTGTAATAGATAAGAACTTTGGACTGTCGGTAAACCGATTTTCCTTTTATTTACATATTTTATTTAACAGCTGTTCAGGGAAATACGTACTAAGTACTTCCAGTGCTGTACATGACGTATGAAGTTAACGCCTCGTTCATGTCTGTTTGTCTCAGTTATTAATGAACAGGCCTAAGTTGGAAACAGATAACTTAAAGAGCCACTTTGACTGTCCTACAGACAGGACAATCCCTCTATTACGATTTTGCTACATTTTGCTGTCAATTTTAACAAATATTGTGGTCTTCTAAAGAATCTTGAGAAAGACTTAAATAGTGTCTAGTGATATTTACAGCTGTTTTCATATCGATTAAACCATTTGCTCGACATGGACTAGATTCATTTACACTTTCCCTTTCATGTAATTGTTCTTATTTTTGTTAGCGTTTACATGCAGCAATCCCTTGCTCAGAACTCACTCTATCTTACTTTTAGACTTGCCTACAAGTCGAGCTCAAATTTTTTCATGAGCGCGAAGCGCGAGCGATAGGTTTTTTACGTTTTCTGCGGCAAAAGCGAGCGAGAGAGCGGGAGCTCGACTTGTTCCCCCTGCAAAAAATCGCATCAAGTGACGTCATTTTGTCGCGAACTATTTGCATCCCTGTCGGATGTGTTGTCGCGTGCGTGTGTCGTCGCGAGCAGTCAAAGTATGTCAAAACAAGTCCGAACCATGAATCGTAATTTCAATCAAAACAGTTCGAGTCACATAACATGTGGCGTGATCGGGTTTGATTGACGGCGCATCAGTAAAACCGTTCGTGATTGGATAAAACCTACAGGAGGAAAATTCCTCCTGTAAATTTTGGCGCGCTGCAGGTGATAAACGTCCTTCATGCAGGGGCCAACTATCGGAACCGGAAATGAGAAGTTAAGGACTTTGAGAAAGTCTATCTTATTCTGAAAGTTGAGATCAGTTCCTTGCCCCGGACGTGAGAGATCTGGGTTCGAAATAAGTTTCAATATTGATCTCACAGCCTCTAAAGCTACTAAGTAGTTACATAATGCCAAATTTCAAAATCTAAATAACCCAATCAATTTAAAGTATGTCTTCAAAACAAATTTAAAGGTGAGAAAATAACATGACATGATTCGCACATTTTGCTTGAAAATCATCATTTTTTGTTAAACTTCGCAAATCATTTTTTTTCTTTTTATCCTATTATTAAGCTCAATAATAATCTTCAGGCTTCAGTATGTTTGGCCATAAAGACTTGTTTCTTGAGCTAACAGCTTTTAAAGCGACAGAGGCGCGTGAACTAACTTCAAGGCTTTCTTTCACTTCTATAACAATTCACCTTCTCTCTTTTCTCTCTTTTTTTTCTAGGTCGTTGGAGTTGTTATTTCCTACTTCACAGTGTTAATATCTCTACCAGGTTAACGTATTCTATTCTGATACATGCAAGTCCCGTAAGATGACGATAACATGAAAAATGTAACCTATCAATTTGTGGTATATATTTTTCTTCTTCTACCAGCAATGAAAAGGAAGTGGAATTTGATAAACTTGCGGTTTACTAGAAATATCGTTTTACAGATATGACTACACGCAGAAACTCTCGAAATTATACTTTTACAACTGTATTTGTAAGTATATAATCTATTAAGCTATGTGCATTTGATGTGAAAGTATCTTAATTTTCGCGATATCAATTAATAAATATGTATTATAACTCTTACTGCCACCCACGAACAATGGATGGAAGTGAGTTTCACCGACAAATGTAAAGGCTCTGTAAACCCTTTTTGTTCATGTTGGCATTGATAGCATAACGGCACAATACGAGACGATGACTCCAGTAATCTGAAAACAAATGACAAAATAAATAATAACCACCGCGCGCTGACAACAACAATATTAATTAGTTAATAATAAAGCACCTTAACCGCAGAATTAGCTCTACCAAGAAGTATTATTTTAGTAGTTATAAGTATTACAGTGATAATGACAATGATAGTAAATTATTATAAATAAATTACTTCTATACATATGTATTTTAAAATTGTCTTTTTTAACATTTCTATTCTTGCTTTTGAACACTTTTTAACAAGAGTTACGACGGAATCCATTAGAAAACTGAGTAATTTTACTTTTTAGTGGACAAGAAGCTTGTACCAGAATAACTTAAAGCATAGTTGCTTTCTTTGTTTGTTTGTTTGTTTTTTTATCCTTTTCAAGGGCTATAGATGTAATTAGTTATATGTATTAACACAAGAAAATTTCTTACGAAAGCCCGAGGAAACAAGTTTCAAAAGCTTCAAATTTCCCAAAATGAAATCTTACGCATGAAATTATACCAGTGTTTTCACAATTCCTGGGAAGTTAAAATCTATGTTTTCGGACTCCCCGCATTAGAAATTGTCTTTGGTGTTATTACAGATAACTACCTACATCTATATGGCCCTTGTTAAATATATATCTACCTGCAAACATTTTGTAATTTCTCTCAACTTCCCCTGTTTTAGCTTACTGTATTTTTTGGTTATGTCGTTTTTGTTTTTTTTTTTTTCCCGTGTCTTTTTGTGGTTGGGAATTTGTGTAAAAGTGGCTGTAGACAGAATCTCGCGCATTTCTTTCTAACCCCCCTCCCTCTTTGCTTTGTTTGTTTGTTTTTTTGCGTCCCTACCCACAATTGTCTGTCTAACACAAGTGACACTTACTTGAAAGCAGTGCGCGCCTAAAGCTGGTTTCGGTGTCGTTTAGCAGATTACATTTCGTTTTTGGTCACCTTGCGAAAAGTTCCCCGGAGAGCGTCATGTAAAGCTCTGAGATGTGTCAAAGTTAATACGATTCGCTGAGTCTGCTTCGTCCAATATCTTATTGTATTCTCGTTTCATTAGCTAAACGGATCAACCACCCTAATCCGGGCTAAAAAGGAAAGGTACGATATTGTTCGCTTTTCTAAGGTGATCACTAAAGGTTTGGCCTCGGGAACAGGCTTTTATTAGTCAAATGAATTAGGCGAGAGCAAGAGGGGATAAAGGGGACAGAGAAGGCATCCCCCATACACACCCTATTCCATAGGTAATTCGTCTCGAGTTATTTTTAGAATCGGGATAAAGTTACCTCGCGCGCTGCGTGGATGTTTCGTGGAGGTTTCGCATTACTAAATGTCGTGCAAAACATGTCAGGTGAAAGACCATGAAAGCGTAAAGAGATCGAGACCATTTCTGAATATTGAAGCGAAATGAGTCGGCGCTCACCTGGGAAAAGGGAATCGCTGGAATCTTTGACAACCCGTGAAATCAGTTTAACTCGAAGTTGTCTTAACCTCAGTGCTTTAATAAAAATGAGAAATTTCGCCAGTCTATTGAAACCGGCCGTTTGTACACTAAAGCAAGTAGGACGCCAAGCGTTATTTTTGTTGAATAACCAAAGACTAATAAAAGAATAAATATGAAACCAGAAATTGCTTTCTTCAACCTGTAAATTATAAATGATCCTGAGAGAATATTCAGTGTATTAAGGATTTCCCTGCTGTACTGTTAGCTCTATACAAGAGAGGAAGGGTGATTCTTTTTTGATTCCCTTTTCGCTGACACCGGTTTAGTAGAAATTTCTCTTTTGTCGATGTTGTCGACAAAACGAATAGCAATATCGCTCTCCCCGTCTTCCGCCATTTTTTTCAGCGTCAATTCGTGAAGGACGCGTGGCTCTGAGCGTGGGTCATCAACGCGGAACACATTCGCGCTATGTGATTGGCTGTTGTCTAATCCCCCTTGGGATCTGTGGTCTTAAAAATAACTCGAGACGAATTAGCTATCGAATAGGGTGTGTATGGGGGATGCCTTCTCTGTCCCCTTTATCCTCTCTTGGCGAGAGCAAAATTGCTGTTTTACAGGGAAAGTCAACACATACTCATGCGAATGTACAGTGAAAGAATACGTTCATGGTTTGTTTACTTACAGAGGTAGAAAATTGAACATCAAACTATACGCAGCTGTTTGAGTCGATCCGTAATTTCGCGCTTACAGACGGAACTGGCAGCTATTGTAAAGGAGGACTTCATTCACTTCTTACAAGCTGCAGTGGTTTAACATCTGTTTTCTGGACTTTTTCATGAACAAGAAACGCTGCAGTAACGACGTGGCTGCATTTGCAAGGTTGTCGCATGTAACATGTACGTACAGCGACCGATGGAAATATGTTAGTGGCAGCTGTAAATTTGGAGAAAGGTTTCTTTGCCGTAGCCACATATTGGCGTTAATATGTGTCGATTTGTGAAGTCAGGTGCTTTGAAGAAGGTTATGGCATCGATATTAACGAATGATTAGTGCAAATGTTGGAAAAAAAAATCAGTGCGAAACTCTGACATCTTTCATCATCATTTACAGCTTGTTTACAACCTACAGCGGCCGATTTTGGACCAGAACGTGATCAGATCTTTCTTGGAACAGTTTCTTTCATTCAGAAATTTAATTTTGACAAAATAGTTCAAGAATGCTAAAACTATCCGTTTTGTTGCTGGTTGGCACATGGTTAAGCTTTCCTAGACACTTTCTACACCAGAAATTCAAACAGTTGAACTGTCTTTCTCTGCGATTTAGCAAAAGGAATGTAAACTGCTTTCCAGCTTTGTACTTTATAACTTTTATAACTTTATAACTATGGCAGTAGCGAATTACGACGCTTAGTAATAAAAATGTAGTGGAAACAACGCTTTTTAATATTAAGAAGGGCTAGGTAAGTAAATTGTTCTGTTTTTAAGCCTTTCTAAAATCGTTGTTTGCAGATCAATAGCCGTTTTTTTTTTTTCTATTTCTTTTTTTCTTTTTCTCTATTTTTTATGGCTCGTGGTCTGGATGCCTTTGTCTATGGGTTAACGAGTATAATAAACCATAGGTTTTTGACCAATCAGATCGCACGTACTATCTCAGTTATTTTGTAAAGTAAGATATGGCAAGAAGTAGCCTTTTCATACGAACCGTGAAACAAAGGGATTTGGTTACCACAACAAGTCCTCCAACTGAAAAACCCCTAGGTTCGCAGTTAAGGTAAAAGATGAACGGCAATAGCTAAGAAGAAATCAGAATAGTCTTTAGTAATTCTAATCAAGAGGGAACAAGTGGTTTATTTATAAGCTAAGTTATATCATTTTTTTTTTTTTTAATATGCTGTCTATATTTTTGTTAAAACTCAGTCCAGATGGCGCTTAGCCTGCATGCATCCTCTCTTCATCGATCTCGTCCCAAGTTTTCCAAATGAACTCATAAGGGAATACTTGTAAGCGCCCTCCTAAAGTACAACTTGTCATGTAACTAGTTCAGCTTTTTTTGTTTCTTTTTGTCTTTGTTTTGTTTTGTTTTTTAACTTAAAGGCTAAGATTACAATTGCAAGTGCGCTTTTGAGAAAAAAAACACTCTTCAGTTAGTTATTACCGGAAAAACCTCTTAATTAATTAATTTCTGTGAAGTGCGCGTGCGCGCGGGATTACCAGGCAACGGTATATGCACTGGCAGATGGCTCTAAGAAAGGCACCAGGAAGCTACAGAAAAAAAAAACAAACAGACAAACAAGACAAAAAAAGAAAAAGATACCTTCACTTGGTCTTCGTCAGAGACAACGGATCCTTCCAAAATGCTTTGAACACTGTGAATCTGAAAATGTAGCAAATTACTCATGGGATTGTCGCCCCTTCCTTATGAGCAAGGGTTTAGTTTACCATAGGCCATTGCTTTGGAAACTTGGAGGCTCATTTGTCTTTATTATAATTATTTTGGTTTAATGGCATCGATGATTTGATTTGGTCGTATACCTTTGGCCATTGTTAACAGTGGAGGCTCATTTGACTTTCTTAAAAAACTAAATCACTAAATGTAAACAAAATACACTGTAAATCACTAAATGTAATACTAGCTTGATTTCTCTAAAGGAAAACTTGAATCTTCTAATCTATTACAGCATTTATACAAATTAAACTTTAGAGCAGAAACTGGATTTAACAAAGAAAAATTACAGGAAGCAGGACGTAACCTATAACTTTACATACCTTTCCGTTAACTCTTGCTCCAAAAAACAAGAAAATAGCGATGTTCCCAGCGGATTGCATGATTAATATTACACAGCCAAGGGTAAGATATTCAGAGCCACTACTTTCTTGCGAGGGGTTCAGTTGGACAGCAACGAAAAAAGTAAAACAAATGAAAGGGATTTGAAGGGACAGTGTCACAAAGAGAAGAGGTGAAAACACTTTGCTGGCGTGTTCAACCACATCACATAATCGATGATGTTCCTCTTTCAAAGCCCAAATGTCCAAAGCGCCGATTTTTCTTGTTGTTCTTTGATAAAAATCATCAAAAAGTCGTTCAAGTATCAAGCACGTCATGCAATATAAAGGGATGGGAAACAACAATACTGCATAGACTAAAACCAACGTAAATGAATAAAGTATGGTAATGCTGTAACCATTCCAATCATTCCAAGGTTTGTTACTCCCTAAATAGAGCTGAGGCAAAAAGTGGGTTGATGTGATGACTAAGATAGTTGCAGTGATCCAAATAAAGCCTGCAGCAGCTACAGTTTTGCGAGAGGTAGATCTCAATGTTTTCAATTCAGCATTGCATTCAATTAATTTTCGAATAAACGTTTCAAAACGCGACTGTCTAATTTGACTTATTGGTAGTACAAACAAGCAAATTGTTCCATTGAGCGCTGCCAAAAGGTACCCTACTAAGCTTCCCAACAACCTGAAGAAGATTGTGATGTCAGTAAAACCTTCTAAACCTAACGAAATAAGCAGCAAGCCAACGGTTAACCAAACTGTTCCCAGCACTGCACAACAAAAGAGAAGCCAAATGGATGCCCGCCTCTTTTGAAAGGACAACGTCGATGGCAGTCGAGTTAGTGAGATTTCTCCAAAGTATAGTCCAAAAAGCCTCAAAGCTCTCAATATGGGGCTGTAAATATCTTCGTACGCCGTTAGCTGTTCGTTCCTTTCGCGATAAGTGCTTTGGGAGGCGTCTGGTAAGTTGTCAATGACGGTACTATGATCTAAAGAAAATGGCTGCAAAGTATATGTTTCTCCAATGTGGGAAATATCTGGTACATGAATGTGGGTTTCCGAAGGATGTACTTGAGAATGCATCTCCACATTTGAGCAAAACCCTTTGGCCAAACTATATTTGTTGTGTTAGCTTATTAATAATTAAAGACAACAATTTCATTGACTAGTTCAATTATTTTTGTGTTGTTATTTGTTCAAAGCTTTTCTTCTGTCGTGTCCCACAGTCGTTATTCTCTGAAAAAAGATGCATAAACACAAAAAGACCTACAAAAGACATTCAAGTGCAATAAGTTATCAATGAATAATTCGAAGTTAACATTTATGGTTTTCAAGCCCAGGCAGAAAAGGCAAAACGTTGATATTAAACTAAAAATAAGTAATTGCACCATTGAGCGAGTAAGGGATACTATGTCCTTGGGTGTGATCCTTGATGAAGTTGTAAAGTTTATGTATTCTTATAAAAATAGGCCTGCTTCCTATAACATATTCAAAGAAATGTTTTTGGTGACAAATCAAGTTCATTCCTATAATACCAGAAATTCGATTACTTGCTACTTATTTCCTGCATGGATAAATATGACTTTTCGTATAAGATTTCACGGTCCTAATCTTTTTATTTCACTTAATAACAATATACATGGTGCTTCTACCATCTCTCTTTTTAAATCCAGATTGAAAAAATTTCTCCTCAGCTGATTCACCACTTGTAAATAATACTTGTGTTTTGCTGTTTTTTGTCCGTTTTGTAAGTTTTGTTCTGCTTGCTTACCAGGTTAGAGAGAGTAGCCGGCAAATAGACTGAAATAAACAAACTGACACTGAATAAATAAACTGACACTAAAGACATGTATTGGGAACAGATCCTTCATTATTCATCTTGAGTTCAAGATATCCTGTTGTGTTCTATATTTGATTTATGTATTAAAGGTAAATACAAGTACAGCTGTGTGCAAGAAAGAGGAAACAAAAAAGACTGTAAAAGAACAAAAGATATAGTTAAGTGTAATGTACCCTCAACCCTCACCTCCCGTTGACGGAAGAACTAATAATCTTTTCTTTCGTGGGAAATGAAGTTATATTTCGAATCGCGTGTCAAAAAAATCAAACATCAACAAGCAAAGCAAGGAAACGTGGCACCCATACACCAACCACTGATCATCGTTATTTTAATTGAAATGATTTTTTTTTAATCGAAACTAAGAGCTTTTTTTAATCGAAAGGAATTGTAAATAGTGCTTACAATTGGCTGAATAGTTTTTTTAAACCAAGATTAATTGTGATAAAATTTTATAGTTAGCTTTTTTATTAGTAAAAGAACTATTAAAAAAAAATACATGATTTCTCATTTCTTCACCGAACTTAAAATTTATAATTTATTTATCACACACATGGTGATCCTGCTAGTCCTAGCAGTAAGCAGGACGCGCGTCATACGTGAATCTTGTATATAATATGAATTAAATTAGTGTACAAAATACTGTCCATGTGGTATTGTGTTATACATACTACATAATTCTGCCTTTATCTTTTATTTGAATTTGTCTTAAATACTAGGATAATAAAAACTGTCTCTAAACACCGTGAAGTGATAATATCCAGTTAACTCTAGATCTAGCTTTATTATTTTTTTAGATTATTAACTTGAACTATTTGCCAGTGATGAATTATTTACAACCGTTAATATATTTTTCTTTTGTGCGTTCTAATCATCAAATATTAATAAGGTGGAACCGATAATATACTAACTGTAATTCCCGCGAGATCAGTGTAAGTCATTGTCTCTCTCTCTCTCTTATTTGTTTAGTTTTGTTGTTTTGTTTGTATTGTTTCGTTGTTGTTGTTGATGTTTTTTTTATTTTGTTTTCCTCATATCAACTGTTAATACTTCAGGGAACGTTGAGTAGTTTCTGGTCACTGTTGTTGTTGTTGTTGTTGTTGTTGCTGTTCTTGCTGCGTCAAAGTTGACCCAAGCATTAGGATTGTTACGTAACCTTTGAATTATAAGGATTCGTGTGCGGTTTTAAGGCGATTGTCCGAATCTAAATTTCGTCAGGGACCTCAATTATTTTTCTTGACGCTGGTTGGGTTATTAATTGTTTGTATTGCCTCTGTTATTTTATTTTATTTTATTTTTTAACATTCAAATGAGGATGGACTCGATCTTGGTTCAGGTACATTGATATGTTTAATGATACTGTTTGCTTTTTTAAAAAAATCCTAGCGTCTTATGGTTCAATTTGTTTGTTCCTCCTCGCGGAAATGTCTGATATTTTAGTTTTTGTCTTCATTGCTGTCTTTTTCTTTTGCGCATCTTCTCCTTTTCTCAACGTTACAGGTTTATATGAGTTTAAAATTCCACGTTTTTTTGTGAAATTCTGGAAGCTTATTGGCTATAAATTAGACTTGCCCTTGTAGAGGCCGCTTTATTTCTGGTCTTGCCATCGCTAGTTTTACTCAGCTCGGTAGGGAAAGCGTAACGGCAATATGAAAGGATTTCTCCAGCAATCTGGTAAACAAACAAACAAACAACAACAGGCAAGGAAGGAAACGAAGGAACAATCAATCAATCAAAAACACACACACACAAAAGAGGAAATAAAAGAAAACATAGTATAAGTGACCATTTTAAGATAACGACTAGCTTTCCAAAAGTCTACTATAATTATACAAGTAAATTTTATTTAAATGGTTAATATCTCTTAGTTTTGCCAAGTTCAGAACGTGCACTCTGATTGGCTGAAAAAGCATGCCAAAAGCACGGAGTTAAAGCTGTCACGCCATCTGTGAATCACACCATGTGCTGGTTTTCAAGACCAAAGTTTCGAATTTCAGGGTTAAAAATACACCGTTAAAAAATACAAATGGAAAGGGAAAGTTCAGGAGCCATTTGATGGGCTCCTGGAAAGTTCAAATGAAGGTTCAGTTTTCTTTTTTTGTGGACTAAAGAAAAGCTTTTGTTTACGAAATCGTCCTTCAAGGAATTTAACTATGGTTTCTTCACGGCGGAGAGCTGAGCAAAAATGTGCCCTGTTTTTAAATTCAATCAAGGCAGCCACATTTTTGAAGGCTTTCCAGGTACAATTTTTCCTCTATGGTCAAGAAAATTACATTAAGGGGATTTTTGTACGTATAAATGTTTCTCAAACGTTTTATAATTTTTGTCTAAGAAAATTTGAGAAGGATTTTGTGTTGACTTTGCCGCGTGCTCATCCGATTTTTCTTGCTTTAAGGATACTAATTTCTTGGTTTTTTAATAGAAATTTTCAAGAAATAATACGGCTCTGTCACACTGGTGTAAAAGATACATAAAAGAAGTCTTTAATTAGCTCTAACTTTTTATCCGATTGAGATGGGGTTTTCACCAGAAATCATAGAATTCTATACAGAAAACTAGTATTAAGTTTTTACCATTTCTTTCCTGGATTTTTATTCTGATGCCAAATTTGGACATCATTTATGACGTCACAATAGCAATCACATGGGATGAAATAAAAACCACTTAAGAGGTAGTTTGTCAACCTACTTCCCTGCCAAGTTTCGTCACATTCGATGCATTCTACTTCTGTCTATGGCCTAAAACTCTCAATTTTGAGAGGTGCGGGAGGAAAAACCCTAGCAACCGACCCCCGTGTTACATAGCCCTACATAGCCATACATGGACCTACATACCCATACGTATAGCCCTACAGAGCCATACATAGCCCCTCATAACCCTACATAGCCCTACGCCTGATAGCTTAATTGTTGTAGTAGTTCATTGGTCCTTGTATTTAGACACCGTGGAGTTATTCTTTTCATTATTTTCCTCTTCGTTATTGCCATTTGCGTGCCTACCACAGGTATATCCCTTTGCCATATCAATGTAAAATGACAGTTCTACTACTCTGTTGCTCCTAATGACATTCGATAGACATCTGTTCCTGCAGGCTGTCTCCCTCCTTTGATTGAAATCTCTAAAGGGTGTCAGTGCCATCTTATGATTTCGAAGGTCTTTACAGCATTTGCACAAAACATCGGCCATCTCTTTTCTAAATTGACGGTTTTGCGCAGCGTATATAATCGGGTTTACACATGAATTTATTAATATTAGCACGAGAAGAACTTTGTTTATAGTATACATAAGATCTGCTTCCCAAACATACCACGCTACGTATAGAATTAAATTTGGGATATAGCAGACACCATATACTATTGTAACTATCATCAGCATCTTTGTTACGTTGTTTCTGGCCTTCAACACGGATATCGATGTGTGTCGTCTGGGTATATCCTCATTGCGTAGATTTGCCACGACCTTTCCATAGAAGAAAGCCATAAGACAAAATGGTAAAAAGCCAATAATGACCAACCAAGCTATATTGTAACCAAGAGCAAATGAAACACTGGGCCAGTCACTCTCACATAATCCACGCTGGCGATTAAGCTTCCGCACACAAAACAACGGAATGTTAAAGATGACCGGTATTATCCAGCAACAAGTAATTACGATTTTCATTTTCTTCATGGTGAAATTTGAACGGTTGATAAAAGGAGAAGTTATGGCTGCGAAGCGTTCACAAGCGATTACAACCAACGTTATTGAAGACGCAACTGCCCCAACCCAGGCGAATGTATCGGAAGTGATTGTCTTACAGAGAATGGTTCCCACTAATCCTTGAGGGTGATGGAACAGTCCTTCCAGGATATGCCTTGGCGTAAACGAGATCACAATCACCAAATCAGCAATGGCAAGGTTCGCAACAAGATGATAAAGTGGCGACCTAAAGGCCTTGCTTTTCAGAATGACAAGGCAGACTAGGATGTTACCAAGCAATGCCATCGTTACTAGTACTGAGTGAGTTACTTTAGCTATAATGTTCTCCTCCATGGCAGTCTTTCCAGTCTCAAGTACGGTGTCCTAATAAGAGAGAAAAGAGAATATAGTAACACGCTCCTACGCATTGGCTTTATTTAGCACTAATCGAAAAGAGGCTATAATATAAGCTTCTTTCTCTTTTAGAATATTGACTATAGTCAAAAACCTTATTGATAAAATAATAATAATAATAATAATAATAATAATAATATTTCTCATTTTCACTATCATTATCAATACTATTATCAATTATAACAAACAAATAAACAAATTAAGCACCAATCTCCCGGGCAGCCTGTTCTTGATCTTCCTTTCCTGGTCGAACTGGAACCTATCTCGAAAAACAGCATGGAATCATCGAATTCCCGCTTTTTGTTTTGCGGGCGTCGATGGGATTCAGAGAACAGCATTGAACCGTGCAGTACTGATTCTGAGGTACGGGCCGGGTACTTTTAAAAGTGCCTAAAGTTTGACAACTGACCAAGTTAGACTACTTTTTTACGTATTCGAATAGTATTCGGGAAAAGTATCGAGAAGTATGAAGGGAAAGCAACTAGAAATTAGGTTATTTAGTAGGGATCGAGGCCCGAGCATGGAATAATCCGGATTAAGGGTTCACTCAATAAATCACTTCAAAGTGGTACTTTTTAGCTTAAATTTCACAAGGGCTTAAAATACTTAAATTTCGTTTCCTTTCATATTTATTGAGTTCGTAATTTCAGTGTCCACAAAGGACTATAGCACTTTAGATATAAGTACCTGCATTTTAAATTGTTGATCGGCTTCGACTGAACGGATGGATACCACTTTTGTATCACGTTTCTTCTCCATTCGATTAAATATAATAAGGAATACCTTTTTTCAGTACACAGCGGAAGATTTTGTTTTTGGTTTTCTACACGTTAATGCACAATAGCCCAGTGAACTTTCCCTGCGCCAGGTGTATTTGAAATACTTGATTTTCTAGGGGAAAATAAAAGCATAGAGGCGACAGTAGCCAGTATCAATGGCAGAATAATTTAATACGCCAGTTTATTCTATGATGACTATACTTGTTAAATGCAGATCAATGAAGAAGTAAATTGAGAAAATTAATGCGTAAAGACTAAGACATCTTTCCTTTTCCATCCTTGCTTTTTGGGAGCAAATTAACCTTTGTCACCCTCAGAAGTTAAGAAAGGAAGTTGGAGAGCCAGCATAACATTAGCGTTGCTGTTCCCCACGGACGCACCCTGTAAATAAGTTGATTACACGCAGAGCACTTGAAAATTTAAGAGCACGTTGTTTAATCCGTAACGTTCACTTTTGAGGATTAGACGATTTACGCAAAGCCACAATCCTGGCGTTCAGCTCTATGCGGAAAAAAACTGGGTTATGATTGATTTCCAGTGTCGTGTAATTTTTACGTGGGTACGTACGTAAAATTTACGTTCCGGAAAATTAAGTATAGGCAATGCATGAAAGGTCGCACATAAGTGTAAAAGTTGAACCTCGCTCAACTTCTCGTTTAAGCTCAGCACTTTTTATCTTGCTTCTATTCTATTTACGTCAATAAAATTTACGTGCGCTGACGTGCGTAGCCAAAATCGGGTCAGTCAAAATCAACCTTTAGAGATATATGATGAATTTCGAGATATTTCGTACAAGGACATTTTTTTCTTCTCGAATCAAACTTTGCAAAAATGGGGCCAAAGACGTCATTTTAGAATTTTTTTTCCTTTTTTCCCGCTCATTTGAACATCACGCCAGCCACTCATCAACAGACGGCGATACAAAAATGCTTCCACCGACCTCACTCATCCATCCAGGCCTTCACGTACCTAACTGGCATACAAAAGTGGCTTAATCATGATCAGAAATCTAAATGACCGCACACGTACCTTGAAACAAGTGTAAACCTAGAGGCACATGTAAATATTCATCACTAGCAACAGAAACCGAAGCTTCCAGAAAAGACCAACTCCTAAGGGCTCCGCTTATGATTGTTTTCTTTTTACTTATGCAAATTTTCCAGACCTTAAAGCGTTGGTGTATTTTAATTTCAAAGTTGCACAAAAGCCAAATGTAGAAGCCCAGATGTTTGCTTTAGTTTCTATAGATATGAATCGAAACTTTAATTAATCGCTGCATTGCATAGCACCTGCATCTCAAATACAGCTTTTAAATGAGAGAAAAGGTTGGTTCTTCACATTAATTGCGCACGGACATCACCTTGCAGTACTGTATTTAAGTAAACCAACATAGTCATATTGAAAACAAAACAGTCAAAACACGACGTAGTTTTACAGTAACCTAATCTGACCACAAATAAAATCTACTTAATGGAACTCTAACACCACTCTCTGAGTAAAATACTATCTTTACTGATTTATAGACTCGTGAACTGCTTTTTACCACTGAATAATTGTCACCGTGTTAATTTACCGTATCACAGAATATTCTAAGACCGTGTAAGAGGCCCTTTTTAGAATAATGGTTATCTCATTGCAACAATGGGTATCTTCTCAGAGTTACAGGCCGGGACAAGAGATAACTAACGCTCCCATCCCATCCCCAGCAGTTTATTACTTCTCCGATTATACCCTTGTCCCACTTAAGTATTAAAAGCGATACAATATAGTTCGTTCTGAAACGGCTTTTATTAGTTGAGATAAGCAAACTGTTGGTTGAGATTAGATGCCGCAGAAGGGACAACTTTTCTTTGCAGTCACCATGGGCCGGGATGTGAGACAGGGAAAATTGAGTTTTACCGTATCGTTGGTTTTCACATGACGTCACTAAAATTCAAACTACAAAACTATCGATCGTACTGAGATTTTACTTTCATGGTGTATTAGAGCAGCTAAAAACTAATTTTCAAACAAATTTTCGCTTCAAAAATGTTCTTGGTTTTGTAATAAAGTACACTTAAATTTCTAAGCTTTTGCGTGACGCAGCATTTTTATGACGGCCGAGAGAGCTGTCACTTAAGTTAAAGAAGTGACTTTTTTCGGAGAATTTTGCTATCTAATGGGTTCAAGTGTTAGAAAAAGGAGTAATTTCACGCTTTTGTAGCAAAACTCGGTAACAGATGTTTCTGCTGGTTTCCGTCCGCCATGTTGGAGCTCACCCGGATGAGCTCCAGCAAGGCGTCTCCATACAAAGCTCTATAAATTTGGGTAAAACATTTCCTCGGATATCTCGTATACGAATTATTCCTTCGACCCAAATCTTGGCGAGGGTCTTTGTATATTTACCTCCTTTCATTTCCCAGATTCTGGAATTTATCTGTCGAATGGTTTTGATTTTTATTTTGATCTATTTTGGATGGCGTGACACTGAGAACCAGCAATACGTCGCTTGGAGTTTGGGAATACAGTAAAACTGAACAAGATAAGAATTAATCTATTTGACCTTACAATACATTTACATGGCATGAGTCAAGTGTTAACCTGCTGAAAATTAAAATGTGATTTTCGCGGTACGTACATATTTTTTTTTATCTTATTTTATTTTTTCTTTTATCTATAAGTTTACTTCGAATTTTCGTTTGATAATCGGCATTGTGATGTTCTAAGGCTATTTTTTCCATACTACGGAAAAATATAAAAGTGCATTACTGTAATTTAAAACCTAATTAAGTAGTTTTGCAAATAAAACTATAAAACATTTGATATAGGAAGCCATATTCATTTATCTATTTTCTTTTATGCTCCGCGAAGTTTACCTCCGGTACCTACGTGTTCAGTTATTCCACTCTCCTCAGAAAGTCACCATTTCCACTGCAGATTCCAATAATATTCGGTTTTTAATGGAGATAAAGAATCATTGTGTGGATGTTCTACCTCTAAAAATTGCTATTTATATTAACGTTTGTTTACACTGGAAAATACTTTCAGTTTAACACTTGAAAGTAGTCCATACTTTAGTAACTGACATTTTAAATAATGATATATTTCTTTTAGGCTACTTTACCTTCAGAATTGATGCATGAACTTGAAGTTGAAGTAATGTCGTCAATGGCAAATGTCCGTGGCAGTGCGTCTAAAACAGGTGCATTTTCACACATTTCCATGGAGATGAATCAAGCAAATTAGGTTGCTGGATTATCTTTTTTAATTAATCATAAACCCTCTGTGTATTTCCACGTTAATTCAGATTAGTTAACTGCGTAAATAATCATGAAGCTCGCCCCGAGGATTTTTAACTGCTTAGTCTCGCAGCTTTTCCTTAGTCTCCTTTACACTTAAATTTAGAAGAGTTTAGAAGCTTCATTATTACTGTAAAAAATACACACCAGTGTGATTTAAAAAATATATATATATTAAGTAACTCCCGAACGTCGGATATCATTAGGTATTATGTAACAATGTTGCCAAAGAAAATAGAATAACATAAGCCCCCCCCCCCTCCCCCCATTGGCTTCCACGTGATAGCGGAGTTCTCGCGCGAGCACTATGGGTAACAAAATTTGGTAAACTGTTTAGTACAATTTTCTGATACCCGCTATGTGGAGTACGCAGAATATCCATTAACTTTGTAACCTTGCAATTTCTGTAATCAAAGGTAAAACAGCAAACACGACACTAGAAAAACGGAAAGTTACTGCTGGAAAGTCAAATGGTTCCCCTCCTTTTCGCACTCCCCATGGGCTATCATTAAGGATGGATTCATTTGCTGAATTTTTTTGTTTTTTACAAGCCTAAAAAAACAATAAAAAATTCCAGTGGGCAAATTTGACAGCTGTACGCGTATGTCGCAAATGAATCCTCCCTAAAAGCGATTCAGTTTTCTGCTTTATTTATTTATTTATTTATTTATTTTTTATTATTATTATTATTTTTTAACATTTTCGGACCAGTTCTTGTCGGTCCTTCACTTACAACGTCAAATTTATGGATGTAACTAAAACGCCAGGTTTGGGGGAGCGGGGAAATGAAATTTATTAACTTGTCAGTAACACAGTTCATCCAATTCTCTTCTTTCAGTTCCCATTCTTCATTTTCCCGGCGTTCCCCGTGCTCGTTCCCCTTTTTAGTAACATTCCAAATTTAATTGTTATTGTTTCGCGAGGGTTTATCTCACGTGCTTTGGAATCCATAAACCCATTGAGATTTTATTCTTAATGACTTTGTTCTATTTACCGCAAATCAGAGTAGATTGAAGACACACACTTGACACACCTTTTGTTGGTTCTTTATCATGTTTTGCTGCAGTTTCGATAACAAACTCTCCATTAGCTCAATTAATCACTATTGAAATCTGTTTTGCTGCTTGACGAGAGCCGAGGCAATAAATGTCACCCTCATGTACGCCTACTTTTGCTACTGACCCCAATGAAATCAATAATCGGCTTTGATGACGGCCGAATGGGATCGACCTTCCACAAAATTCCTATTCATTTGATATTATTCGACTAGCAATTTCCGATTCCTCGACAGTCAATATACAGATCTGTTTGATAGATAACAAATATGAAAATCGGCTTTGAAACTGAAATACCGCGGAATTTGTAAGCATATTATTAATCCACGCCATCTACTCGTGATCATGATTGTTTTAAACCTGTGTGGCCGGCCAGCCTCTAGATTCTTTTGTTAAGCGAAACTGTCACTCGCGGATTAATTTGGTTGAGTGGAAGAGCAGAGTTTAAAAGAATGTCGGGGTGTAACTAAGAGTTATTGGATAATGTTATCCACGCCGTCTAGGAGAGAGAACACTTTAACACGAAAAGTGGCTATTTGCATTATTGTCAGTGACTGAAGAAGGACCCTGTATCAAATACGTACTACAAAAATACGAATTGGAGCAATTAACTGAATACGCGCAAGTGGACCATTCTAGATTGGCTATGAAAAGTTCAATGGATCGTCGCGATGCCATATCCAAACTAAAGACAAATCTTGACAGAATCATGGAGGAGACTGAGAATATTTTGAGAAATGAAAAAGCAGTTACCTCCCCGCGTCTATTCGCAAGTAGAAAGGCTAGTTATTCGGCGAGTGGTACAAAGCAAGAGCCTGTGGCTGGTATTAACGAAAGATCGACATCAAAACTCGAGGTTATCAACGTTTTACAGCAGATTCTTCAAAAGCAAGAGGAACTAACAGTCGTGGAATATACAGTCAACAACAGCAGGTTCAAAGTCCTTGTGATCGAAGATACCGAACTATAACTCGTGCATTGATATTTTATAACTTGAGAAATATCATCTTCTGTAATATCTCGTCAACCCGTTTTATTCGAGGATTATTGAGATAACTATAGGGCAATTTATTTCTTTGTCGGCAATGATGATATACCTTAAATAATTATTGAACAAAAAAAAGAAGTCTTAAAGAATCAAGCTCATTTGTCTACTCATACCGTTTTTCCCAATTGGTCCAGTTTGACTACGAAGAAACAATGCGCACCTGCGGAAATGAGCAGAATTTTGCTGGGTCTCCACGATGGTGCAGACAGCTTATTTTTACCATTTGACCTTCTTTTAAAGTGGCTTAAGTTAGATGTCAACCTGAAAGGCGGATTATTCGTCATTGCTGAGATGCCATAGACGTCTCAGCAAGAGAACGGAGAGGAAAGCTATAATCTAAGAATGTTTCGATAACTTATTAAACCGAGAATATATTTCACAATTGCAAAGCTTTGTCGTCAAATATTGTGCTTCATTAGTGCGGATCACGGAAAACCAACCGATTTTACAAACCCAGATCCTTTCTGTCTTGGGTCTTACACGACTGTATGCGGCTATTTTCAAACTTAAGTTTAATAATAGTTTTAGTTTGTTTATCAAGCAAACGCAAAGGACCGATGATCGGTGCGTGACGATGCATGCCTGCTCCGGTAATCTTGAAGCATGCTTTAAATAGAATGCTGCAGAATTCGAAATATGGGGACCAGTCCTTTATTTTGTTACAGAAATACTTTATGAAAAGTACTTCAATAGCTAGGGCGTTTGAGAGCTTTCAGATTTCACAATGTTGCGGGAGGCCGGCATTAATTCCTCATTCCATGAAAGTAGGCTACTTCCTTCAAGGTTGTTTATCTACACTGCGAAAGGTTTTGATTAAAATGTAAAATGGTGAAATGCCACAGCTGATACAGAAAGCTTCGGTTAATGAATGAGTGATACAAAAATTAAAATAAATTAATAAATTATTTTAAAAAGGTACAGTTAAACGCATTTACGTAAGAAACCATTTGTTTAACCCTGGCCCCTTGTTCGGAATAGTGTAGAGGGCACATACAAAGCAAAAAATTTCAAGACTTTTCCTCTCAAAACCAGGAAGTCTTCTGACAAATACTGGATTGACGATTTCATGGCATTTTCTTCTCAATAGTGTGTTTTGCTACTTATAAACTGCCGGTTTGCTTCTCTTATCTCTTACTTATTTTAATAAAGAAACGTTACTCCCAAAGTTTGATAATTTTGTTATTTGGGGGGATAAAGGTTTCGATGTTGTTGATGCTGCTGAGTCAGAACGACGACGACAGCAACGAAAACGTCAAAAACAAAAAAATGGTTTATCAAGGAAAACCAAAAATTTGTACGTCCATCACGTTTTTCTTGTACGTTTTTCTGCCGTCACTGCACGAACACAACGTGAAGATGCCTAATTTCACGTTTTATGGACGTAATGCAAGCGACGAAGAATTTTTCTTTCTCTTTCTAAACTTGAGTGCGGTCCCCCAGAAAGCCTACACCAAATTCTAAGTGGCCAATTTATGACGTTACGTGACGAGACTGTAAGGGATACAAAAGAGAGACCTAGAAACAAGGGTGTCAGTGATGTTTCGCTGACGGACTTACAGGAAGTTAATTTCTTTTTGAGGCACAGGCGATGTAGCCCCAATTTTTCTTTCTCTCTTTCCTTCTTTTTTTTTTCTTTTTTTTTTCTTTTATTTATTTATCGATATTTGCCCCCGCACGGATTTCGCCCAGAAGGCGAAATCCCGAGAAGGCACTCTAGTAACTGTCGCGTATATTAAGGAAAGTACTTACAGCTGAAATATGCAGTCATACAGTCAATATAGAAAAAATCTCGATTTGCTTGAACAGGGGCCGCGAGGAATCGGTAGGTAGTGATGACGTTTCTATTGTTTGCGCCCGCAAGTACGAAATGGTTAGGATGACGTAACGACAGAAAATCCCGAAGGGACCGCTTAGGTAGGATTTTGTGACATTTATTGTGCAGTCATACTTGGATATGCGTTACGTGTTATCAGTTCTGTGGAGCAGTTGTTTTGAAAGTTATGGACAAAAGACACTCGTTAAGTTATAAGCTGCGTATAACTGTGTATATATAAACACTTGGAGAGTTTGCCAGACACGATTCCACAAATCTTTGAGGAAACCTTGCCAGACACTCTTTCTCTTTCTTTGACCGGAATAAGACTCCTCAGGTAAATTAAGGCATGGGTCAACAGCCATTTTCCTGTAAAAATGAGGGAGTGGTCTATGATATGAATGGTTTATCATGAAGCAGAACATACCAAAAAATATTACACAACACCAAAATTGATGCTTTAAAACAGACCAAAATTATGCAAATTAGATCACGTGACCTTTCAGCTACTCAAAGTTTCAAAATATCGTTAAGAAAAAATGGGCACACTTTTTAGCAAGAGTTATCTTACTTTACTACCCTAAGAAGATACAAAATGTAAGCCGCTACAAAACTGTGCTTGGCAACTTTCAAATATCTCATCTATTTTGAAAATAAACGGGTTTTTTCGACTAGTACCCAGTCTCCCAATACAAATGTATCATTTTAACATGCCTTTCCTTTGAAAACTCTTGACATTGCCAAGCGCAGAAATGACATACTTAACGGCCTTAAAATTATGAAACTAGTAGAAAAATGAAGGAAACAAGAAAAAGTGTGCCCATTTAAGTTCAAGGGTTTTTTTGGGCGTGGCGTGTCACGTGACCTTATTTGCATAATTGAAGCATACCAAATAGGTAAAAACTAGCCGTTTATGTGTCTGACAAGTTTTCAGCTTGCCACTGCTAATGTATCGAAAGATAGACCACCACCCTACTTTTTGACTTAACACCTGAGGACCCATGCCTTAATTACCTTGAGTCAGCCTCAAACAAGCAACACGAGTGAACAACGGATAGCTTATCACTAGCAGAACTAAAGGGCGATTACAGAAATTCGCCGACAATCAAATTCTGTGCTGACTTATTCCCTGCTCACAGATGTCCTTCCGCTATAAAGTTCAAAATAAGACTAGAATACGCGAGCGGGAATTGATCAAACGTCCCAGGCTTACTTTCCGGAAAATAAAATGAACTGAATGTGAAAAGTGAAAAAGAAATAGCGAAAAATTTCAACTTCTAATTAAATTTTCTCTAAGGTTCGAAATAAAGTATTCTCGAAACTAAGAATGTTTTGATCAAAGCTGTGTAAATCAAACAGAAACTGTCCATGGAACCTTGCGTTTCCTGTATTTATCCCACCTACTGCACGGAATATGAGTGAAAATCTTCATTATCGAAGAATCCTTTGCTGCAAGAACTTCAAGGCCAAGGGCAAGGTTTTAAAGATCGCTTACGATACCCTCCATCTTTGTCCGAAGGCTATACCTCTTGCAGAGTCATCCCCTTGGACAAAAAACCCTGGAATACGACCCATTGGCGTTGGTGAGGTCCTGAGGTGAATTGTTGGAAAAACTATTGCTGGATTTTTGAAGGAAGAGATCAAAGAGGCAGCAGACCCCCTTCAGGTTTGCGCAGGCCCTAGCGCAGGCTCAGAGGCCGCGATACATGCTATGAGTCAAGTGTTTGTAGAGGAAGAAATAGATGGTATTTTACACATAGATGCAAGCAACGCCTTTAAACAAAGGAACAAATCCGTCGCCCGACATAACATCCAGATAACCTGCAAGGAAATCTCATTTTACATCATTAACACCTACAGAAGCCCGCCGAGGCTCTTTATTTGCGGTGGAGGAGAGATATTGTAACAGGAGGTTACGACTCAGGGGGATCCTAGGCCATGCCCTGGTACTCGAACAATACATCTATCATGATCCAGAGCTTAAGGACAAGCACACCAGATGTCAAGCAAGTATGGCTAGCCGACGACTCTGCGGGGGGTTGACAAATTGTGCCGTTGTATAACTGGTACAATCACCCAAGTCAGGAAGGAAAGAAGTGTGGTTATCTAGTGAATGGATCAAAGAGCTGGCTGATTGTCAAGTCGGACGTACTTGCAGATGAGGCAAAGAGGGTGTTTGGAGATGAGGTCAATGTTACAACTGAAGGTCAGCGCCACTTAGGGTCCGTCATCGTATCTCAAGAGTTCAGAGATCAATATTGTCGGGAAAAAATCCTTAGATGGAAAGGAGAACTCGAAGCACTATCTGAGATAGCAAGGAGCCAGCCTACTGTTTTGTCGAAGGGTTACAAATCCAAGTTTACCTTTTTCATACGCACAATAGAGTCGTTCGAAGATTACGTTGACCCTATCCAAGAGGCGATCGACGACTTACTTCTCCCAACACTATTCGGTCAAACGGAGCCCCTCCCTAGTGATCTGTCTCAGCTCGTTACTTTGACACCCGCTCAAGGAGGGTTAGGCGTAACCGACTGACGGTTTGAAGCTCCACAGCAGTTTGCTGCTTCTACGTTAATAACAGCACCGCACGTAGATTCTATTACCAAACAGAGCATGTTCATGGTGGCAGGCGAGAATTCCACGGAGGAGTTAAAAAGACAACATCGAGCCTTGAAAACTGCGTCGGTGAAATCGAGAATGGAAAGTATTGATTCCACTCTACCCTTGGAGCTGCTGCGATCAGTTAACCAATCGAGAGACAAGGGTGCGAGCTCATGGCTTACCGCAGTGCCTCTTGTTGATCAAGGCTTAGTGCTGAATAAACAAGAATTCAGAGACTCTCTGCGTTTAAGGTATAATATGCCCCTGTCCGACTTACCAAGCAAGTGTGTTTGTGGTGAGAAGTATACCGTCTGCCATACCCTGTCATGCAAAAGGGAGGTTTCGTGGCGCAGCCGAGACATGATGGTGTTGGCAACCTACTGACCTCACTTATTGGTAAGGTTTGCACCAACGTTGAAGTCGAACCACAACTACAACCTCTCTCGATAATGAGCGATTCAACCTCAGAACCGCGGTAACAAGCGCGGAGGCAAGACTGGACTTTAAA